GGGCGGCGGGATTGGGCCTTCAGTTGTTAAACAGAGGGTCCACCGGCACCTGTATAAGGCCGGGAGGGGGGTCATCGGTTATTGATTTGACTTGGGCCTCCCTCTCGGCTGCAAGGTTGGTCTCCAAGTGGAGGGTGGAGGTGGAGGGTGCGACGTTATCTGACCATAGATACATAGTCTGGGCCCTCCACCTCCCCAAACCAAAACAGGTGTCGGCTCGCCTCCCAGGGGAGAGGAACTTTCCTCTCCTCAAAAGATGGGCCCTTAGTCGACTAGATGTGGACAGGTTCAGGGCTGCTGTCCTTGTGGCCACCTGGCACATAGAGCCAGGTGAATGGGACCCCGGCCCCCTAAAGGGGGTCTGGGAGATAACGGGGATAGTGGCGTCGGCATGCGATGCCGCGATGCCCCGTTCCCACCCCCGTCGGCGCCGGGAAGCGTATTGGTGGTCGGAGGAAGTAGCGAGACTCCGCAGTGACTCCGACCGCGCCAGAAGGGCATATACGCATGCCCGGTGACGAGACGGGGATGCCACAAGGGCAAAAGAGAACTACCTTGCCGCCAGGGTAGTCCTCAAGAAAGCCAAGCTTCCTCAAAAAGGCCAAGCGGGAAGCCTGGGAGCAATTGGTGAGCTCCCTGGATGACGATCCGTGGGGGCGCCCATACAAGAGGACGATGGGGAAGATCCGTCCCTGGGCGCCCCCGCAGACGGAGACGTTAGACCCCCAGGCCCTCGATGGGCTCCTGCACGCCCTCTTTCCGAGGGCGGAAGGGGGACCCGCCGTGATCCCTTCCCCAGAGATAGGGGAGGGAGACTGGGACGAGGGCCTGGAGGTCACTCCAGAGGAGCTCGCCAAGGCCCGGAGAAAGCTCGGTGGCAAGGCCAAAGCCCCTGGCCCCGATGCGATTCCGAGCCGCGCCTGGGCTCTTGCATTGGCCGAAGGGGACCTGTCCGCAGCCACATGCAGGGTCATGACAAGATGCCTCAGGGAGAGGGTTTTCCCCCCAGAGTGGAGGAGGGCCAAATTGGCCCTCCTCCCGAAGGAGCCCGGTAGTGCATCAGCCTACAGGCCGATTTGCCTGCTGGACGAGGCGGGCAAGATGCTGGAGCGCATCATCGCTGACCGCCTCGTCCAGCACATGTCCTCGAGTGGGCTGGACCTCCACGACCGCCAGTACGGGTTCAGGCCTGGACGATCCACGCTGGATGCAATCCAGTGGGTCCGAGATCTGACCCGGGCGGTCGTGGAGATTAGAGGCAGGGTGTTGTTGGCGGTGTCGTTAGACATATCTAACGCCTTCGACACCCTGCTCTGGCCGGAGATAGGACGGGCCCTCGAGCACTTCGGGGTGCTCGCCTATCTCCGGCGAATAATGTCCGCCTACTTCGGGGACAGAGACCTTGCCTTCACAAAAGAAGGCGGGGTTCAAGGCTGGCGCACTATGGAGCGCGGTTTCCCGCAGGTGTCGGTGCTCGGCCCCCTGCTATGGGACCATCGGCTTTGACCGGGTTCTTCGCACTCCGCTCCCCGACGGGTGCCACGTCGTCTGCTACGCAGACGACACGTTAGTAATGGCTGAAGAGGAGAACTGGGGGAAGCCCGCCTCCGTGCGGAAGTGACAGTGCCATCGGTGGTGGGAACCATCGGAGACCTGGGTCTCAAGGTGGCGCCCTAGAAGACTCAGGCTGTGTTCTTTCACGGCCGGCGTCGGGGGGCGCCGCCGGAGACCCGGGTCCTAGTCGATGGCGTCCACGTCCGCGTCGGGCCGACGATGAAATATCTCGGCCTGACGCTGGACAGCCGATGGTCATTTGGGCCTCACTTCAGGCAGCTGGTCCCCAGGGTGCGCAAAGCCGGACTGGCTGTAGCTAGGCTGATGCGCGCCGAAGGGGGCCCAGGATGGCTCGCCCCCTATATGTCGTTGCGGTGCTCTCGATCGCCCTGTACGGGGCGCCCATCTGGGCGCCCCAGTTGCTGGCCACTGCGGTGGCTAGACGGCTCATGAGGCAGGCCCTCAGGCCTCTCATAATCAGGGCGATTCGAGGGTACCGCACAGTGTCGTACATGGCGGCGACCATCCTGGCCGGCTCCCCCCATGGAGCTCCTAGCCGAGAAGGGGCGAGTCCTCTATTAGCAGGTAAAGGAGCTCCGCGAGGGGGGAGAGCTGACGGCCAGGGGCCTGAAAGACCTGATGACCCAGGCCAGAGACCGGACCCTGGAGCGGTGGGAAGGCTTGCTAGCCGACCCCCGAGGGTCCGGTCTCGCAACGGCCAAGGCTGTCCGCCCCTGTCTGTCAGAAATGACAGACGAAAGGGGGCATGGAATGTCCTTCCCCTGGTGCAGGTATTGACCGGGCATGGTTGTTTCGGGAGATACCTGCACCGGATAAGGAAGGAACCCACCGCTCGATGCCACCACTGCCCCTAGCGAGAGGACTCGGCGCTGCATACCCTGGTTGCCTGCGCAGCATGGGATGAGCGGTGCCGTGTCCTGCTCGGGGCGGTGGACTGCCGTGACGGGGAGCTCTTGCTCCCGCGCCTAGTGCGAGCTATGTGCGGGAGCGAGAGAACGTGGGATATAGCGGCCTCCTTCTGCAAGGAGGTAATCTCCCAGAAGGAGGCCGCCGAATGGAGGCGCCGGCTTCGAAAACGCCGTCGTAGAGAACGACGGGGCCGGCACTCCCCGGGAGGATCAACAGCGGGCCCGAGGTGGCATCGGACGAGGAGTGGCCGCTGGCCTACACGGGCCGGCGCCTCCCTCGGCCACCTCGGGCCAGGCTCCGCCACTCGGAGGGAGCGAAGAGGATACCTCCCGCTCCCCCGATGGGGTAGGAGGGAAAAGGGGAGGGGGACAATCCGATTGGGGTCGGGCCCACTTCGCCACTCCCACCCTCCCTGAATCTTTCAGGAAGGGGGGATAAGGAGGAAGGGTGGATGTCCCTTTCCTCCTAGAAGATACCAGAAGGCCAACCGGCGGGGTTACCCGCTGGGGACCGTGCTCCTCCCACTAATTCCCCGAAAGGGAAGGGGGGTGCGGTACGCCCCCCGCGGGCACCACCTTGTCGTAGTGGGGGGCTTGCGTGCCCCGATGATGTACAGAGCTGTACCGGGGGTTTCGACCCCTGGCAGGTTCTACCATGCCGGGGAAGCCTGTACAGAGGGACCAGACTAAGAGCGTCCATAATACTCCTGGATGGGCAGCTGCCTCCAGGTTTTAACCAGGGTCTGGAGGGTCTCACTCGTGGGGCCCAAAGGGGACCCTACAGCGCGGGCAGAGCGGGCTCGTTAGCCTGGTGAAGGTAGCCGGTCTAGGGGAAGGAAAACCCTGAAATCACACCCGAGTGGGCCGGGCTCGTAACAATCCGGCACCTAGATGGATTATACATGACGACGACAAAGACAAACATCTCGGTATTCGGACCCGAGAACCGGCGTGGGGAGGGTAGTGTCCCGGCCCTCCCCATGTCGTTATCGAGCTACGGGCTGGTACAGGGGTTAACCACGGGCCCCTGTACTGACATGGATACCGTGAAGCGTCGCGGCGGGAAACAGGACCTGGTCCTCGGCGTGTCGTTAAGACACGACAGGTCATCCGAGTGTAACAGCTCTGAAAGGAGCAAGAGTCGGACGAAGTGCGGTAATCACGAGAGTGATCCGCAGTCTGACGTGGACCACGCCAGCCGGTCCTTCTCCGATCAAATTCGGAGTGACCGTTCCCACCGGGGAGCGCGTCAGGTGGAGCCCACGGGTCACAAAGGGTTGCCACACACCGAGGGAGATTTCAACCCGGCGTCCAGCAGCCGGAAGGNCGACTCCGTGAGAAAAACGAGATACTTGTATGCATTACTTTTAACCCTTTAACTGCTACGGTCGAGATAACTCGAGTGTGGAAAAAAATGGCGGCCTTGCTACAATCGAGTTTATTCGATTTGGACTTTCAATGTGTAATACCCATTTAATTTAGTTTGTAAAAAGCATTTGAACTGAGCGGGCATATAGTGCCATCTCTTATCATTATAAAATATTTTATAATTGTAAAAATATCTCAGCAAAGAGGGTCATACTTGTCATTTAATATCTCAGCAGTTAAAGGGTTAATTGCCCTAGCACGTAAATATTTCTTTTTAATGCATAGGTGAAATAATTGTAATGTGTAAATGATTCGCCGTCTGTGTACATACCTTGCGTGTCCTTTTTTGCGCGGCGCCACAAAATCGATTGAAAAGAATAAAGTATCGATATTTTATGCAAATTGTCCGACTCGCGTGTCTCGTTACTTCATCCTGATGATCGCGTCTGTCCGTCCTCGCAATTTACTCTCTTAATCGAGGCGATCCGCGATTAAGAAATAACGCCGATAAATTACCGCGAGGTTCTAGGCTGGAGATCGTGTCGTCAGGACGTACCGCCGGAGGAGATTGAAAGTGTATGCATATCGATTACAAATCTCACCATTTTCTCGCAAGGGATTGCGATATTAATCTACCAAGAAGAAAAGAGAAAAAAATCGCTAAAAATCGCTAAAAAACATCAGTCGGTCTTTCCTCTTTGTCGGAGTCTCGTGATCTTGGAACTACTCCGTTCAGCTCTATCATTAGCGTTCTCTCGTTATTACCGTTTCATATTGTACCATTAACGCGAGCCGACCGCCACACGCTGACGCCCGCGGACGCGTCCGAGAGTCAGATTAAAATTTTGAATAACCAAAGTCACGATGAGTGCACGCACACATGCGCTTATGCCGCAATGCGTGTATTCGTTAGGCGCTTCTCTTATTAGCGCCCTATCGGCCCCCGTTTTCATTCGCGTTATGTGCAATTAGTTACGCTTCGCGCGCAAATTAATTCGACACGCGTCGAAATCATAGCGCGCTCTCGCCACTAACCCCCATCGCGGTGGTCAACGTGTCAAGGGACTCCCCGGAAAACGGGGCCAGCTCGATACGCTTGAAGCTCTCTCTCGCCGAGACACGAGGGGTCTAACGAGGTCTAACTAGGTCTAACGAATACCGCCATATAATACTCTCATGATAATGACTTATTCTACTGTACAATATATAATGTGTCTTACAATAATGTAATATATACACTTTACGCATGATGTATACGCTTTGTGAGAGTCCTTGTACATTACACGAGAACATTACTTGCTCTCTCTCGGTGTAACCCACGCATGTTTATGTACAAGAGCAACGACCTCGCGCGGTAAGGAACGAGTTTTGAACTAATCGGGCGGCTATATAGGCTACGATGAGTATTTAATCGGCGCGATCAACGCGCAGTCACGTGCGACCGGAACGATCGTCGCGGATTTTCGCGCTTCGTTTTTTCCTCTTTATTTTGTACTCACTCGAGTTGTTTGTACATGTATGTTACAAAGTGCGCGTGTATAATGATGCTAATAATAATGAAGAAGAAAGATAGATAGGCGAGAAAATCGAGGTATTTTTCGTGTAAAACGTTTGCCGCAAATGAAGAATCCTCCGATCGCAGCGACTTCGTTTCACGATCGACGTGACACCGCGTCGTACAACACGAGCCGTGAAATTATTATCAGGAGGAGATACGTGTGCAATTATCAAGATACGTTACTAATATTACTTCCTCAGTCTAAAAACAATCACAATACACGTAACATCAGGCTACGGGCTCGCCCGCTGGATAACGTTGTTGGCTCGAGGGAAAGGATTCTCTGTCTTTCTTTGCTTTTTGTGCTTTTCTCTATCTTTTCGCAAAGGTAACACAACGATCTACGTTTCTTTGTCCTTTCTTTGTTATTAAGACGACGACGATATGCCGCCGAGCGACTTGTGGTGAGAATGAAATTTCATTTCGCCGTGACAATTCGGCCTCGATGCGTAATGAGCATATTGTGACTTCAGAAAATTGTTATGCTCTTAAAACATCGATATTTTCTTTTTGTCCAGGACGATGCATGTCCGCCGCAATATCGCATGGAATCATGGTGAGCATGTTGAAAATTGAGAAATGTATCGTACAGTTCTCTTAGCTATCGAATGCAAAGTTGCGAGTTTACGTGAAACGCATGTAAGATTGTACTTTAGGAATTATTTCTCTCTTTTCCCTTTGTTTTTTTGTTTTTAGAGTAGATATTATTATCTCACATTGCTTACGAAGAACGGTAACGGATATACAAAGTCGGTAACGATACCTACACTTCCGATCGATGAAGATTCGATTCGATCATAAGACGTTCTTCATCTCCTCGTTTTATAAGTTAGACAGAAGAAAAACGAGCACAAGATTTTTCTACTCGACGTTACGCTCGGACTTACCTCTTTCTTGAGAAGGAGAGAGAGAGTAAGAAAGAGAGAGACGTAGGAATCTAATCACGAATATGTTGTTTGGTCCATTCGCGGTGCAATTTGACGACCTTTTGTGCTGTCGCCTCGTTTCCTTTCACTGTCTCTCTCTCTTTCTCTCTCTCTCTCTCTCTCTCTCTCTCTCTCTCTCTCTCTCTCTCTCTCTCTCTCTCTCTCTTCCTCTCTCTCTATCTCCCTCTCTCTTTCTTTCTCTTTTGTATCGCAGCTACAATTAACATACATATTTATACCGACAAAGTGTATTGTACAAAGAATCGATCGAGTATAAAACCGTGAATGCGTCAGATGGGATGAGAAAACAGGCAAAGAAACGGAATAGAAAGCGATCACTTGGATAAAATATCACGAGGTTCTCGTTACGTATGCGCGAAAGATTCTTGGGAAATATACACTTCGCCGAGGTCAGTACGTATACGGCGATGTAATACGCATTATCGTAATATAAAATTGTCATGTTAGTACAACACTCACGCTCAGGACAGTTATATTCAATCTCATAGCACGCAAGTATCGAAGCACAGCCATTAAAAAAATGTAATGTAACGTGTGTATGTGTATGTCATGTGAATGAGCGAGTGAGGGAGTGTGTATGGATATCTCGCGTACGGATTCCTTGTAAATGTTAAAATTTCGGAAAATAGTTACTCCATGAGCGAGTAAAACGTCGGGAGTCGGAAAGGTATCGCGCGCATGTCCGACCGAGATACACATACGAAAAGTATACAATATAGAGAAACTAAACGACCTAATGATAATATAACGGCAATATAAAACTGACTACTGGTTAAGTAGGATCACATCTTTGGTACATGAATCATCGTTATTAGATTAGAACAACATCTCAACCAACCACTTCACTATTCTTATCAAGTGGACAGTTACGGCAAGATGACCATATATTCTATTCTCGTATATACTCAATTAATTATTTCTCATTTCCCTTCCCCTTATTTTATCACCGGTCATAATATCGTAAGCTTCTGGAACAGGACAAGAAAAGGGTCTATGCTCTCTTTGTTTAACGTTATATCTCATAAATTCCCCGTTTAAACTCGCGTTGTTAATTTGTCATCTATAAACGTCTATTATACAGCTACATTCCCGGTAACAGTCTTCAGTTTTAATATATATGTATATATACTATTAAATCCTTCTTTAATCTCTCTTTTTCATCTCAATGATAAAACTTGTCGAGCCTATTCTCTATATCGTCCTATGTAATATAACAATCGAACTCGTCGCTTGTCGCCATTTCAAACGCGACGAGATACTACCGCGGCGCGGCCGAAAGAAGCAGATCTGTGTGTGTATATTTCCGACTAGGAAAAAATTTGATCATTCTGTGACCTGTCGGCGATCAAAAACACGATTCACGTGGTATAAATTCTATAAATTTACCTCTTTTCCTCTTTTTCCAGGGCATATTTCATCAAGAGAACACAAAAACATATTCGCGTTAAATTTTCAACGTACGCTCGTACGTTTCGGCAAGTACTAACAGATACTAGAGATTCCGTGAGTCAAGCTCTTTTCGAGAACAATGTGAAATTCGCTCAACGGCTCCAGAATGTGAATGAGGAAGGTCAATAGCGTAGGATTCCTTAGAAACGAGTTTTCTTCGTACATGTCTGTCGTGGAACGCACGTCGCTCATTGGCCGCAACATCGGATGAAGTAGCTGCTCTCTAAAACATTTCGTCGAATTAGCATATATGAACATATTTCTCTTCTGTTTGATTCCCGTTGATGTGTTGCGACGAACGAAATGAAAACGTAATGCGATTTTATACTCACCTCGCCGCCAGGCAGATGAATAACTGAAATTTACCGTCCTTTCCCAGCGTCTGACTGAACATGTTGATTTGATCGAGGAGATGACAATAACATCTCAAGATCGTCAATCTTTGGCTGCTCCCCGCATTGGCTCTCCTGTCGCGGTTGAGCCTCTGCTGCGAGTATTCGTCCACCTCCTCCAGCAAGGATATCTCGAAGTTTTCCTTCACGCGCACTGCAACGATTTCCGCTACATTATTCAAAGAATTTTCTTCTTGAAAATTATAATCGTGCTACACTTACGGAAATAGTCCCACACATAGAAGTTTCTCCCAAAGATTCTCTGATTTTTGAAACCGAATAAGAAGATTTGTTCCAATGACGGCACTAGGCCACCTTCTCCGCATAGCAGCGCTGTCAAGGAACCGTCCTGACATTCTCTTCTGTAGTGATACTTGACTATGGAGTTCACGGCTTCACCTTCACGCAATATGAATACTCGATGTTGTACAATTTCGTAATTATTGGTTCGGTCAAAAAATTTGGCTCGATTGTTAAATTTAATTTAATTTTACTACATTCACAATAAATTTGCATTTATTGCACATCGTGCTAAACTTTTTAACCTAATAGTATTGTTAATCAATGTATACCGAGCATGTGTTGCAGCTCAACTTGCGACAATATAGGGCGCCTTGGTATACTAGGCGATCTACACCTCGGAGGCGTGGAACACGATTCCACCAACTCTTCGCTGTCGATACTTCGGGGCACCAAGGCGCCCACTAATAATCGCTCGGTAGACCCGTCATCTATTCCTCGGCCCAGCCAACGACCGCAGGGAAATTTGAACATATGCCCTGTCACCTCGTTCCTCACCACGACGTGCTCCACCATCCACTTCGGCGACATCCCTGTGTTGTCGTGTCCGATCCGTAATGTCGATAGTACGCCTAAATTTTTATGCTGGAGAGAAAAAAAATCTGTACACAGGGATGTAAGCGCCGAGTGTAGTGTCCTTGTCTCCGATCTCGGTTCTCTACTATTTTAAACTTCCACATTGAGTAATCATTGAGCCATTAATGAAAGAAAATTGGTCAACCGATGACAATGCGTGAGTTATAGAGCGCTTACATGAAATACAAATTCAAGCGCTCCTTTCGGTATGGGCACCGGATTTGTCTCGCAGAGTGTGCCGGAAATAGCGATCCAGCTGTTAGCCGAAGTCGTGGCGGCACTCGCCTTCCGGCTGGGAAAGATCACGACGCGGTACGGTAGCTTCGTCGTCGGGTAGTTGTTTGTGAAGCAAAAGTAGTCGACTGCGTTGAGCGTCAATAGATGGTACAAAAATTGTTCCTTCTCTTCTTCACAGCGTAAAAAAGCCGACCGCTTGTACTGGCTCCTAATAGATCGCAATAATAACGAAATCATTAGTTTAGTAATACTCGGAGAGGCGGTAGCAAGATATTATCTTCGATATGATATCTTCAATGCGAGATCGCGAATCTTTTATATCGGGCGTTCCGTATTACAAGGCTCTAACCAGCATCTATCACGGATCTATCACCGTTGATGTATATTTTATATATGTACAATATTGCGTTCTTCAAGAGATTTTTAGAATAAACCTCACTTATTGAGACAATTTGAAAAATTATGAGCAAAGTATTTTACACATATAAATACGTGATGACAATATTTTCATTTTCTATTATTATGTTTCATTAACGTCTATTACTGTCATTTCATTTTCGTTTATCGTTTATTCGAAACGCACCTTAATAGAGCACTGTCGGACAGTAACGTCTTCAAATGACGCGACAGCAGTTTTTTCTCAAGCGCCAGTCGCACCCACGCCCTCGCGTATCCGATGTGCGTCTTGATATCGGTCATCGCTTGAACATTACGAATGTCGAAGATTAGAGAGTCCGGCAGAGGTCTCAGATGCTCCGGTCCTACGGTCTTCCTCTCGCCGGGCGACTTGTGTTTGTCCGTGCTTCTTGTGGGTGAGACGTCTGTCTCCAATTGTAAATTCGATAGATCTGTCGCGATATGAGATACAATTTAGACGTATACATTTCATTTCGCTCCCACCTAAGAATGCTCACAAACAAGAAACGAGCAAGAATTCTTTTCTCAAGAACGGTATTCTCTTCAACAAACACAATCATACTCATTTCGTTATATTCAATGTATATTTTTACAATAATGTACATGCAGATGCGAGATATCATGCGTCATACAACAAACACTCAGAAACACATATGCATATACTCTTCACACATTTTCGAAGATACGGGTCAGTCAAAAGGTTTGATTCGACTCTTTATTCAAATTTTTATACTTTGTTGCATTAAATAAAACTCAATTTATAATATTTGTCTATATTTCTTGAAACAACGTTTTGACTGGTCCGATATATATCAGGTACATAATAGCTTCACGGTAATTTGTCATGCAATTCTCTTTCCATGAAAGTTATTAATTATCGCAACAGAGATAAGTTCCTTTATAACATTATTATACGTTCGAATAACAGTAACAAATATCGTTGTAAATTCGTTTATTACATATTTGCGCAATCAAGCATTCGCAACGGAACCTTCGCAACAGAACTGATGAAGAGCACGCGACAGAATGTAGAAACAAATACCGCTTTCGTGCAGTTGGTCGGCCAGACTAAGCTTCCTCTTACAGGCAAGCCAATGTCGTGGCTTACCGTTCAAATTGTCCCTGATGTAAGAGGCAATTTCGAACATACTCTTGCCCCGCAGGGATGAAACCAAACGATCCGGTATTCCAAAAAACCTATTCGGCGATTTCTTAGCTAGTTACAACATAAAAATGCAACAAACATAAAGGAAAGAAACAGAGAAGAGGAACAAAATTGAAATGTAATTGTACGACTTGACGAATTGAAACGTAAATAATAATAATTAACGAAAGAAAAGAATTTACGTCAGCGCCAAAACACAAAACGACACTCTGCACCGACATCGACTCCGCTTGGTGCGTATGTCGAACATTCGAGAGAATAGCCCGCGAGTAACGCGTGCGAGGAAGCGTGAACATATATTACATATAAACAGGTGTGTATCTGGTGTATCACTTACAAAACTAATAGTGCAGAGTATCTACGTACGAGGAGAACTAATCTCTACTTTTACAACACTGTTTATCTTATCGTGAAACGTACAATCGAGTCGCTTCCGTAGCACGGACCACGCTAGCGCTGCATTTCCGCAAAATAGAAACATTCAGTGTATAATTCTCCGTAATATTTAGATTCTCAGACGTCTTTGAGATGTTTATGCTGTCTGGGAATAGTCTGTATTAATATTATAACGATCTCCCGCGGCACGACACGCACTTTGGGCAATTTCTTCGACGAACGTTAGTACACTGTACACAATGATTCCCTACTCATACGAGCCGCACGTGTGTCGTACTTTAAAGTCGTATCTTAAAGCATGCATATATATGTGTGTATGTGTCTTACCAGGGGACAGAAAGTTAGGGTCTATAGACTTGGTCGCGTCGTTACATTCTTCCGTCTCCTGGTACATAGTCAGATGTGACCAGAGCGCGCTTTTGCCTTGCTTATTTTGCAGCCCGTGGCTCCATACTCGCTCCAGCAGATCACAGAGACTAGCGACTAGAGTGTTCTCCTCAACATCGGACAGAGATTCGCCGCCGTGGCCCAGTGCAACGGCTTCTGACCCCATTTTCTCTACCAGCATCCTCTTCGTCTTAGATTTACAATCCTTGAAGAAGGAGGAACGATTATATATGATTATATTAACGATAACAATATCAGTGATAATATTAGATTGTGTAAAATTATTTTTAGATCTGTCAACAAATGAGATTGTAACTTACTATATAACTAATAACCAAGATATTCGATGTAACATCCAGAAAGTACAAATACATGAAAAGATGTCTTAGAGACATCTGAAAGACGTTGAAAACAGGTAGCATATATATCAAACGTTTCTAGGTCGACATTTAAATATTTATACCGTCTGAGATAATCGTCAAATATCTATCGTACGGCATAATGCATACTTTGAGCAATTTTTCGACAAACGTCCAGTTGGCTTGCGCTATCAGAGCCGGACTCATGTCTGCCGAGAGTTTAGTCTGAGGTCGAGGTGACTGAGATTCCTGAGGTGTCGCGGGCTTTCTGTTCGCATCCATGGATTTCATCTTGTATTTCCACTGCGTCTGGCCCCTCCGACTGCTACGGAATGGAAATGTGATCCACCATTAGTCCCCAATTATTAAAACTGATTATTAGATAATTCGCGACATATACAGTGTACATTCATAGATCTCGGAGGAATGAAAGTAGATCAAGTGCGTGATTAACAAGTAAAAACTTTTTCTTCTGTGTGAAATCGCACTCGACTCGCAGATTTTCGCTCCAAGACCTACGGTTTCACTCTGATTGTTACTGAAGGATATCTCTTACCGGAGAATACTACGTAGGAAGCACAAAATAAAGAAGCAGAGATTAATAAATTTGAAAACGTGAGATTAGTTTGTGGAGATTGTAACAGATTGTAAGTTCGCGAGAATCATTGTGACGCACCTCTGAGCGGGTTCTTTATTCAACACGACGCTATCCAGCAGAGGAAAGCTCCGAAAATATGCTGCTCGATGCGGGAGAATTTCCGCGGGCGGATTCGTCTCGAAGTCCACGTTTGTTAACCTTTGCTCCAGTACTTGTTGCGTATCCGCAATGCTCGTGCATGGCTCGTACCTCATCGATCGTATGATGCTCTCCCCGATTTTCTTCCTGAAAGCCATGAGGAAGAATGCGGATTAAATCCGGGTTAAAAATACTCATCGTCATACCCAATAAGAAAATAACTTAATCGAAGTTTACTTTAAAAGAGAGATCCTTTGGTCAAAGACCTTTATGTTGAAATCGAGCTCGCTCCACGTCGACATCACTTTACTGTCGACGAGAGAGGCGAACATCTGCGTCTCAAGGAATCTCGATAGAAATGGTAGATGCTGCGTAGGCTGGTCGGATAAAAACGTAGCCTTGTCGAAAACGTGCATACTGTCCCTGTTATTGATCCACTCATCCTTGTCCTCCAATGCGAGAGAAGCAGTATATTTAACATTAAGTTTAGGTGTATATTAAATATCAAACACATACGAATTACTAAATACGAATAATTTTCATCCTATTATGATAAAATAAATTTATAATCTTTTATAATTCTTTTCTTGCGCTTTTTACAAAATATTAATCTATAACCAACATCCCCAAATTCTTTTCAATGCAACACCCGTACCTGACTTGGCTGTATGACGAAGTGCTCGTAACTAGAAAACATTTGTACAAAACGGTTCAGAAACATCTCCCTGATAGCGTTATTGAAGACGAGAGTCTCTTGGTAGTCCTCCTGCGGTGTGAGTATCTTCTCGTTTGTAGTATCCTCCGCGGGATCAATATCATCTACGTTTACTGCAATTGGAAAGTCCGGACGGAGTTATAATCCGATTATTTAAGCCACCCTGATGGTGAAGATTATGTTACCTGATCTTTTAACAATGTCCACTATCCTTTGCAAGTTGTCCGACTGTGGGCCTAGCTCCGGTCGGTCCCAATCTAGTACATCATGCAGAGAATGTTTTCTGCGAGGAAGGTGAAAACCGGAACCAGGAAGCGTCAGGCTACTAGTCATGATGTCGCCGTTGTAATAATTTATGACCATGTTATCGGTCCTGCAAAACGTTCTTCGTGTTTGGAAACCGAATCACCAACATTTCACTCAGCTCTACTGAAGAAGATAAGGGTAAAAAATTACTTACTTTCCCGAATGTGGTACTTTGTACTTGTTTAGAAGCGCCCTAATCTCAGCGATAAACTGCACTTTGTGAGGAAACACAGGTAACTCTTCCGGGAATTGGCTACTTTGCTTATCTATATCTACATAACAGAGGTTCGCCTGCAACCAAAGATGATAAAATGTCACTCGAGCTCGATTTCTACAGTTTGGTTTCACGAACGAAGATTAGCCACCACTTAGCACAAGAAATGCTGAAACCGAATAGTGGTCGTTGGAAAATAAAATTAACTGATACGGAATCAGTTGTAGCAAAAGTCAACAAGAAATAGCAGTCGACCTGGATGTTAATTTCGGATGCTTCATTATTTCAGGTAATATCCGAGTGTCGGACAATATCTGCGAGCCTGACCACTAGATATTTGGATATAGAAACCACTCGGTTTAATCGGTATTTACCGATATGCTCGAAGGGAATTCGATCGTCTGTCGTTGTTGAAACTTGTTAAAGCACTTATGGTTTAATGGCGGCTAACATCGGACAGAGAGGGTGATTCTAGGGATATATACTTCGCTAGCGATCTTCAACACGCCACCCTCGCTGTGTGCATGCAGGCCCATGATGAAGGGCACAGGAGCGTCCAAAAAGTGGTGCAGACTGGCGGGCAATATCGGCACGTAGACATGTTGCCACGAAAATGGGAAAAGAAGCGCCGTTATGCACTCCGACACCACCATCAGCTTGTGGAAGTCGGCGCTCCTCAGGAGCACTTGATTTTCCAGCAGCACACATGTGAATAATTGTATCAGGCAGTCCGCGCCCAGCCATGTGAACACATCCTTCAGGGGGTAATCTAACATCGGTAGCTCCAGCGACGGCGACGGCTGGTGGATTACCAACTCCAGCGGCGACTTGGCGGGCTCATCGTTAGGTACGAAGAACTTCAAGGATTTACCAGGCAACGGCACCGGCACATTGTACAGTAAATTGTACACGTAGGATTCCAGACTCAGGCCGGGTCCGGGATGTCTAGGAACGCACCTGAAAATTTTATTGATCGACACGCTTACCACTCTAGGGAACTATATGCTCCAGGCGCCATTTAAAAATCCCATATTTTTCAGACGCCATTTAAACACTCCACGCATTGAAACATCAGCGTTAAAACTTTCCATTTAAAATTGGTATTTAAAGATCCCATTTGAAGATTAATTGTTATTTGACACCCATGCGAGCTATAGGATAACTCGACTTTGGCAGGGTGTTGAGAAACCGTCAATTCGACGAGCGGAAAAAAAAGAGATTTCGCGATGTGCACGCGATGTTAGTTTAGGACAACGAAAACGACCGGAGCCGCATGGAATTCGCCGCGACAACCCTCCTCTCTCTTGATCTTACTTGTAGAGATTATTGAGGAACGTCTTAGCCGCGTGGAGGTAGGGTTGCTGGCACAGCAGAGATATCGATTTGGTCACTAGCAACTTGTCTTTGGTAGAGTCGTAATACGCTAACGCGGCACCCGGTGAATGGGCCGACAGCTTGAAGTGCCGCGGCAATGATCTCGTGTTGTGTCCATCCTGGCCCTTCCTCGCGCTGAAAAGTCGGACCTTGTTAGTCGATCGTGAGTCATGCGCGAGGATATCGAATAATTGAGACAAATGAGGCGTTCCGAGCGCCAAAGGGGTGAGCCGGTTGTTCATTGTAGGCGCTCATAAATACAGATTTCGCGTCTACCGTCGTAGCGTAATATTAACGTGATTTTCGAGGAGGAACTTCAACGTGAAACTCACTTATCAAGAGAGCTAGCAATTCGGCAAACTTCTGTCGTCTTATATATCTATGCGCTTCACGACGGACAGGCACTCATCTCTTTTAAGCCTCAGACGACGACTCTTTCCTCGTGAAAAATGGCGACCTCATTCTTGTCACGCGGAACACCTCGGAACATTCATATGGAGATATATTTCTAAGGGGACTGCTTTCAAATTAGTCGATCGTGGGAAAAAGAGTTGTTCGGTCCTCGCGATCTCCGCCTGTGCGAGCGAGCGGAAAAAGAGACGGAGCGAGGCCATAACGCGTCCACACGCAGATAGGAACGATTAAAAAGTGCAATTACACACACGAACACGAACACAAACACACACACACACACACACACACACACACGGCTGGTGGACACGTACGTGGGTGGTGTGCCGTTTTGGCCGCTGCTGAGCTCCGTGATGTGCATCGCCTGCAGCGTTTGCATAGCGGCACATATCTTGCGATTGCGGCACTCTTCGTAGAAGACGAGACTGAATCCGTATGTTCGGTGGCCGTCTTCCTTCGTCAGCACGAAGGAGTGGAAGGTGGGCTCCACCGAGTGCTTCTGAGTACGGAATCGTAAACCGCTTGGCAGACAAAGCTATTATCAATGTAATCGATAAGTTACTCTCCCCTTGACGCTCCCCGCCGCACGCTTTGATATTCTCCGAGTTTAATTACCGACAAAGAGTGTTGCGCGAGGCGTCGTTAGACGAAACGAATTACGTTAAGGTGTAATATAATCTTACAACCTTACAACAATATGTAACTACGATTTTATTTAACAGCAACAATGTATACGTGACGTGCAGATGAATGTATGATATAATAACAAAGGCGGATAAAGAGTTTTTTGAATTTCTCGGGGCGGAATCTTGGAATCTTATTCGAAGCGATCATGAAAAACCGCGGAAATGGATGTTACGACGGAGAGCGCGATAAGAGCGCGACCGCGCGGTATCGCGCGAATAAAAAGCCACATCTATTGTCAGCTCATCGTCAGCTCGCGTTCATGCCGCAATGAGCGATTAGCCGTCGTGAATGGATACATACCATGCAGACGGCGTGCTCGTCGAAGGGATTCCATGGCACTGAGTCTGGATAATGTCCCAGCACTTTGCTCTTGTACGCCCGATCCAGCGGCGTGCATTGCAGTGAGTCACCTGCAAAAATAGCGAACAAGCCGCTTCGTACAACGATATGCCGCTTCGAACACCCGATACCCTTACCGCGGATATTAACACTTTCAAGGCGCTAGCCATCTACCAATGCTTCGTAGGAAGTGTCGTCTTCCTTTAAAGGGATCTGCTGCGGGCGCTACCGATGACTTCCGAGATCGGCGTGCGTCCTCGGTAGGTTTAAGAGCCGATTGTTCCAACTTCTTGGTAAGTTAACTGATAGTTATATCATATGTTTATCTTTGTTTTTCCTTCAATTTGAACGAAAACAGACATATGATTTAACTATCAGTTAACTTACTAGGAAATTGGAACAACCAGCCTTAAGCGCTGTCGGAGATGCATACTCAAAGTACTCGTTGCAAAAGAGGCGATAGAATCTAGTGCGGGTTTTAATCTTCCGCGAACAACAGCTTCCTTTCGCAATCCATGCTGCAAGCTACTATTTCGCAGCGGAATCGCCAGCAAGCTATGTTATCGAACGCGCTCGTCAACTATCCGGCGCGACATGAATGAGGCGGTTTAGGCTTTGGCTCCGTACCAACTCTTTGTCTCCCTCCCTCCCTTTCTCTCTCTCTCTCTCTCTCTCTCTCTCTCTCTCTCTCTCTCTCTCTCTCTCTCTCTCTATACGGAATAACTCGCCCCCTCTCTCCGCTCAACCATCGCGACAAATACAACGTAGCCCTATGTACGAGGTTAATCGTTCGTGATCAAAGAGCCAACCCGAGAGGGTGAATCCCGTGCCGTCGAATTCGCCGTCGCGACTCGCGAAGAGACGCACGAGAATTGCGAAACGTCCTTTGCTGCGCGATCAATCGCAGCCACGAAATAAATTTGCCAATTGAGTTTGCGGTCTTCCCATTAGGAGGGACGGTGAAGAGAGGCGAGATGCTGGCGTATATTGAAATGCAAAGACTCTCGGCTCGATTTCGATTGGCTGCGAATGTTCGCCTCGGCTGATTGATATTAACGAACGTGACGTATCGGTCCGCCTTGGAGATTCATTCAACGCTTTGAAAGATCTCTCTGTTGTGCGAAGTACTTTTTATACGCGTATCAATTACGTCCTCATGTTGCCGGGAGGAACGCTGCGGAGCGTTTAATGGATTCCAGCCTTTATTATATGGCTCATGTGGTGTTCAGTCAACGTGACATAAGTGGATCAGTCGGAGGAGCCGAATCGCGGAAGTCGACGTGTAATTTCGATCGAATTTCTCGAGATGACCAAGTCACAAGGCAAGTGGGTGCTTCTTCTGGTTTCCCGGCTAAGACATTTTCCGCGGTATCGATCTTCCGACGATTAATAGGAGGAAATGAGCGAGGTTGGATTTAGAAACTAACAAGGATGGAAGATTGGCGAAACCGTGAATACAAGCACGAAACGGCACGTAGGAACCTCGAAGACGAGAAAAATCGCACACATTCGTCTGATTCGATCTTCTCGATGAAGTCGATTGAAATCACGCATCAACAGCCGCGATTCAAGTCCATCATTGTGTAGGAATAAACAATTTTTCTTTATTGTGCAATGGAAACCACGCAAAATGGGAACACCTTCCGTGTGTGTGCGCGCACGCGCTCGCTTGTACGGAAACGTGCCTGTGCAATCGATTTTAATTTGGGATCATAATTGACGCTATCAACCGGCCTGCGAGTCAATCTCCGCTTGGAAATGATGTGCACGAAGTGATGGTGATAACTGAGTGAGTGGGTCGAGTGAGTTTGGCCGTCGTTGTCGTCGTCGTCGTCGAAATCGTCGGTTTCGATTAACGTGCCGATAGCTTCCCCTTGATATTTTTTATTTATCGTCCGTGCACACACGCGTCGTCGCACACGTACACACATGGAGTTTCCGGGCAACAAATCGCTGAATATCGGTTGCCTCGGGCGAGCCTCTCGGTGGACTTGTCACACAATCATCGTTTTGTGTTCACTTTAGAGAACGGCGCGTTTTATACATATATAAAGAGAGAGAGAGAGAGAGAGAGGGAAAGAGAGAGAGAGAGAGAGAGAGAGAGAGAGCACAGCTCGGAATTCCGTTTAAATCGACCGTGACGATAACGCTGTAAAAATCATGGCGAAATTTTACAAAACCAGAAAGCGATCAGCCAACTAACCGATGCGACGACAGGGCCGTACACGCGCGTTTCCCTTTCAGCGTATTGATCTGGGAACGGATGAGACCCCAGACGACGGGCTTTTCTCTCAGCGTAAATCGTCCCGCGATAAAAGTAAGTATATGGCGCAACGCGTTCGCCTTATCAGGGGAGAAGTAATCTACAATCTGTTGGTCTAAAATCATTACGTGTCCTCCGTGAAAAGCAGTTACGCAGCTCTGTCATCACCGTGTTTAATTAAGCGTAAAAAATCGTTGATCGATTCCTTAGTTAAACGCCTCTCGGCGCGGCGCTCCCGTGTGTGTGTGTGTATGTGTATGTGCGTGTTTATAATTTCGCGATATATTTACCGTGTGTGTCTTACGTGAGAGCGTACGTACGCGTGCTTGAAGAAACCTTAGAGAAAAACTTACTTTCCACGGGCATTTAATTATCGTACGAACGTGTCTCGCGCAACCGCAACGGTAGCTGGCGTATCGCCCGAGGTTGCGAGAGGAAGGGAAAGAGAGGGAAGGGAAAAGATGGCACGCTCGAACTCTTACCACACGTACGTCCGCCTCTCGTTCCAGTTATTACGCGAATATACTTATTATACCCTTAAATATACTCGTGCGTCGCGCTCTTTTTTGCCTCCCGTACTTTCTGTTCTCGTGTACGCATCGCTGCCGAGAAATGGTTGTATTACGAGTGCATAATCGTAATTACATGCTTACGTGCAACATAAAGGCGCAGAATGCACAACGCGGTTACCAACGGTAACAGAACGGTCGGTCGTAGAACTCTTCCCGATCACCCGCAAGTCTCTCTTTCGCAATTGGCCAATAATCAGTTTTGAAAAAAAAAAATATATGCGAGAAATAACAGAGATAACGATACCTCGCGCGTAGATACTGCACGTAAAAAATTGCAACATGAAAAATACGCGAATTATCGGCATTGTAATTTCTCAAAAATAAATCTCCGAAACGCGATTACGAAATTGCGAGTGGGAATGACCGTGCGTCGCGAAAATTTCCGTAGCGTTTTCACGCATGCGAAAATTTTCATCGGCGAGCCCCGGTTTCTCTCTCTCTCTCTCTCTCTCTCTCTCTCTCTCTCTCTCTCTCTCTCTCTCTCTCTCTCTCTCTTCCTTTCTTTCGACAGGATCGATGATTTCTCGCGCACGAGCGACCCGCGCATTTAACCCCGCGGATAAACGCTGTGCTGCGTAGATTTGCATTCAGGTTGCAGAACGGAGTACAAGAGCAAGAGCGAGTGAACGAGAGAGAGAGAGAGAGAGAGAGAGGGGGGGGGGAGGGAGAGGTGGGAAAGGGCAAAACGAGCAATAAAGCGGGCGATATGCCCGTGCCGCGGGAAATATTGATTCAGCAGCGCGATGCACGCACGAGGCGTCGAGCGGACGAATATTTTCTGTGAATCCGACTACGGTGCACGCGAGCACGCGCGTGCACCGTAGTCAGCATGTGTCACGTGTGTATGTGCAGGCGCACTCTTAGAAATGCGTGTATCAGGCGCGTGCGTCACGCGACAGGGCGAAAGAAGGGGTGGCGGATTGCTTTGCGAATATGCATGAGGCATAAAAAACGTCTGAAAAAATAGAGAAGGAAAATGAAGGAAAGAAGATGGTGCATTTAGGAGAACACATGTAACGTGTACGCAAAACTAGATGTATAACGAATAAAGAATAAGTGGAGAGGTATATTTTAATAATTTTAATATTTTAATAAAAATGCAAATGTATAATGGATGACAATAATAAACATCGCGAATCGTAGTTTTTGGAGGAGCAAAACTTTCGCGAACGAGATGTCACTCGCGCGACGGAGGGTACTTAGCGAGATTGCGCCGCTAATTAATCGAGGGCTTTCGCGGAAGGGCGAATTAAGTTCAGTGCTGGTAGCAGTGGGCGATTTTAACGGCATTGAAGTATACACCGTGTTCTTGTGGGATTTGCGATCTCGTGAACGCTATTCTCGGAGGTATCTTATCGGCGGCTAAAAAAGTAAAGGCAAAAGATTTATCGTCAACGACGAAAAAATTATCGCGTGTCATCGAGGGGGAAAACCGACGAACGGCGATTCCGAGAGAATTCTCTCGCGCGAGTACGCTCCGATACGCGACGATTTGTTTGAAGACGCGACGATGGTGAGTTGCACAGTTTTTGTTCCGCTCCACGGTGCACGGTGCAGACCTTCCCAAAGTGCTCTGTCGTCCTGCCCGAATAAGTCGCCTCTCCCCTATTCGTGAGCACATATGATGTCATCGTGTGCTGGGTCATTTGTAGATGAAGGGGCTACCGGCACTTGAGTGCGCACTTCAAAGGCGGAAACGTGCTTACAAGCTCAAAGCACACGGTGCATACAAGCGTAACAAACATTTCTAGCGGGCGACAAATGAAAAGGAGAAACGCGTCTCTCTCGTCGTCGACTAAAATTCGACTAAATCGAATCAAACTGCTTGACTGATTCGCTATAATTCACCCCGAAACGGCGTTCGTTTTACAGACAACGTAAAACGAACGCCGTTTCTTCTTTATCGATAATTCTTCTTTATCGATAATTTTAGACTGACTCCCGCTCTCCTCCCTCGAATTGTCGTCACGTATATCCTGGTCGAAGGACATCTCATTAATTAAATTTGCTTTACTTAGTATAGCTTTTCATAAAAATAGCTGTACTAAGTAAAGCAAATTTAATTAATGAGATGTCCTTCGACCAGGATATACGTGACGACAATTCGAGGAAGGAGAGCGGGAGTCAGTCTAAAATTATCGATAAAAAAATCCACCTGGATATTTTCAGCCGCAATACAATATGGCTTTTCACGTGAAATCTGGCGAGGGCTGGAAATAACTGTGTAAACTCGCGGAATAATATGATCCTTCCGCAAACCTCGCTACTTCTCGAACGTACGCAAAGAAGAGCGAGGTCCTGAATGAAAGGAACGCAGGATATCAATGGCTGATATTTGCCTAAAGGGGAGAAGTGAGCGACGAGAGGATCGGCTGTGAATTGTCGTGCTCACCACTTTTTCGACCGCTCTTCAGCGCATAATCAACCGTTTGCAACGACAATCGAAAGAAAATGCCGGTTGCTCTCTAATAAACGTATCATAATCGACGATATTTTACGTGCAACGCGAAATGAGGAATTTAGCCGCGGAGTTCCATCGCATTTGAAGCAAAGAGGATGGAGGACTGTCGTTGAAACTGGGTGAAGTGCTATCCGGCCGAGAATCGTCGGTTATTGACATTTATAAATGCACAACTCGGCAAGTTTGCTGTCGGCGGAGAAACCGACCGCCACAGTGACTGCCGCTAGTTTAAAGGGAAAGATACGGAGAAGACGATACACGATGTAATGCGAGGTATCTCGTCGACGGAATACGTCAAACGAAGAAGTTGCCACTAATAAAGTCCGATTCCAATTTCTTGGTAAGTTAACTGATAGTTCAATCATATATTTATCTTTGTTTTTCCTTAAATTTAAACGAAGACAGACATATGATTGAACTATCAGTTAACTTATCAAGAAGTTGGAATAATCTGTCCTAAGAGAAAAAGAAGTGAACGGTTGCTTTTAATTTCGACGATGATGAGACAGGCAGTTCCGTTTTATTTCGAGTTGCTCGAGCGTATCCGCCGATCGATTTACGATTGCAAACTCATCCCGAATTGATCGCGTTTTGCTTTTTTTGCTCAAAATAATAAAATCGCTTTTTGAAACACTCAGAGAGAGAGAGAGAGAGAGAGAGAGAAATCTCTACATCTGGATATCGCGACGTTCATATTTCATTTCAATCATCGTTTCACGGCGATGATAAATTTCACACAACGAGACTGTCGATCGGTTTCGTCGAATTTCAAAATCACGTTGGGCTTATCTTAATCCTCTGAAAGCCGTTCGCCACTGCTGGAATTCGACAGGAATATCCGGCGTGTGATGAAACGAAAACGTCGTTCCTTGTGTGCGTAAACTTTGACCTTATTCCTAGGCATGCGCCTACCGTGAATATTTTTACAGCGCGCATCTTGAAGGCTGCCAATCTCGTCGAGGGTTAACTTTATCCTCCGCGTGTGTAAACTTGATATTATTGGATTATATTATAAATAACGTTATATAATATCTCCTCTCTCCCTTTCGAGTCGATATCCGTAGACTGCACTGTTCGGCTTTAGAGGAAGCGCGCGTTTGCGAATAATGCAAATAAATAAATAAATAAATAAATAAATAAATGAATGTCCATGTCCCTCCATATTCGCGGGAGAAATCGCTTACCGGGTGTAAGACGCTTCTTCTTCTCCACAAAAGAGAGCGGGAAAGACAAGTATCCTGGCCAATTTATTCGCTCATTTCCATCGTTTTAAACGAATCGATAAACTTCTCCTCCGCCTCTCATGAATAATCTCGGCGGCTCCGGAACGACGAAGAAAACGGCGAGAACGACTACGGAACGAACTACCGCCTCGTGACGAAATAAAAGCGCGTTTAGGCTGTCAGGGGAGTCTTCTTTCCGGCGGAGCTATCTAGCCAGGGTGGGTCGTCGTCCGCGAAACGATTCCGCGGCGTGCTGTACTCTCGGAAAGATCGCCGGCCGCGACGGGTATATTGTTCGGGTCATACATATGGCACCAGGCATGCGAGGGCGGAAGCGTACGGGTGGTCTGAGCGACAAAGGACCACGGTGCATTCCGCACTTGCTCGGAAGCCTTATTACGTGGTAGAAATGCGTGTCCGAAGCTTTCACGGGCAAAAATGCTGCCAGATCGTAGTCCGACATGCGAACGTCTCACGGAAGACCGATAGGTTACATCTTCGAGGAAGACAAAAAAGAAAAAGAGAGAAAGATATGAACGGTGCGGGCCGTTCTGCGTATGTGCTCCAAGAGCGGACGGACGTCTCTTTCTGTCCAGGCAGCAGAAAGAAGCGGAACGCAGCTGCGAAGGAATCGATTGTCAAAGGCTCCTTTTTACGCGCTACAGCCTAAGTCTTCCTACCTGTGCGGCCTTTCAGCCGCACACTCTCCGCATTTCTGCTTCTTTCTCCTTGCTCCCTTTTTCGCCACCTCTGTCTCTCTGAAATGCCCGAATACACCCGCCCGTTTCTCATTTTACACGCGGAAAACTTCGTCCCGAATGCGGCGAGTGCGCTTGAGCGACTGACCGCGGCTGAGATGAGAAATGGCGGCGGCTGCGGCTCCTTTCTGCGCTCGGGCGCCTTTGGAAAACGGGACGCGCCTTTCGTGTCTCTCGTTCTAACGGCGATTAATTAATACGGCGCGAGGTGTGCGCGTTAATCCCCGTGAAGCTGAAAGAGGAACGAGTTTCGCGGCGGAACTTCTGGCCGCTCAAAGCCTAGCTCGCGCGAAATTGCCATCGCTTGGCGGCGTTAATTGATTCTTGCGTAATCTGTCGTCCGATCGGACTCGGTGAACGAGAGAAAGGGAGAGAGAGAGAGAGAGAGAGAGAGAGAGAGAGAGAGAGAGAGAGAGAGAGAGAGAGGGGGGGGAAGGGGTCCCGTGGAAATCAAGCCTTTAAAACCAAGCGAGGCCTTCCTGTGTCGCGCGTGTTTGCCTCATGCATGATTAATTCGCCCTTACGTGCTCGCTCGGCTCAACACAGCCGCCATCGTAGTCATCAGCGTGACGACGCCGGAGTGATCGGCCGTTTTCCGTACGTAAAAATCGACCTGCCGCTATCTTCCGCTTCTCTATCATTGAGTTGTTTGTTCGTCATTTATTATTCGTTATCTCGAAACTCGCTGTTGTTACGCTCGGCGAAGAGATTTCGTTCTTTGCTTCTTTCTTCTCCCTCGATCGACAATCAAGCTTTGTTTCAAGCAGCGGAGCACTCCCCCCTTTTTCCCCGATATCGTGCGCAGCACGACATTATCTATTTATTTCCACATAGACGCGTACGGTGTTCCAGCGAGAGGACTCGCGAGCAGCGCAGCGATAATGGAGCTACTACATTCTTGAGACGCGCCAATTGTCAATTCCAGTGTCCTCGACACTGCTCCGGACAAGAGGCTCGTTCATCGATTTGCGCGGCCATGACGTGTTGATAAATAAATTAACGCCAATCGGAGACTGCGACGCGTCGTTTCATCTCGTTAGGCGCGTTATCAGTCGCGTCCGTCGTGTCGCTGCGCGGGCGATCTGCATCACCGACGACGATGATAAGTGACGATTCGCGAGGCTAATAACAAGTCGAGCAAATGATGCTGTGGTCAGCCGCAACATCCCCCGCGGGTCCCTTCTTTCATCCACATGCGATAAACAACGCGGTAAACAACGCATCCCGACGAGACGTGATGCGGTATCATGAATGTGGCATTCGCGACTTTATCGAACGTTACGCAACGCAGATGAGATTTCGCGAATTCGACATGCTCGAGGGAGGCGCGCTCACTTATTTCCCTTTTCTTTCTCTCGCGTTTTCTGCCACCCTCTTTTTCTCCCTTACTCCCTCTTTAGCGCCGTTTTATTCCGCGTAGAGAGCGAGAAAAATGGTTCAACGGGTAGCAGATGGAGTATTAGTCCGCAAAGAGAAACAGAGAGAAAGAGGAAGAGAGGAGGATGAGAGTAAGAGAGAAAAAGAAAGGAAGGGCTTGCGGAGGCGGATATTCACCGAAGTATTTGTCTGGCTCCAGACCCGAATCCTTGTCCAGACCGCATATGACGAAGTAGTCCGCGAAACGCTGTGGATGTTGCTCTGAACCGCGCGCTATTCCCAGACTGCCGTTCATCTTTCCCGACGCCGCGAGTCTGCACTCTCCCCGTCCTCCTTGTCGTGTCCGTCGAGCAGCTCCGCGTCGCCACCGCTGCCGCCGTCCCTCACACTCTCAACACCGTCTTCTTCACGAAATTGACTTCCGCATCGCGCACCAGTACCGCCGCCGCGGCGGAACTGTCATTTCACAGCGAGTGCGAGACCAACAGCTGAGCGTGCTGACGCGACGCGCACGAAACGACCAGGCAGTTCGAACTCACTTCTTGCGAAACGGATGACGCTTTTTTAGCGCCACCTGCACCTGCACTCGGATATGGTTGAACTAAGACGGGTCACGTGACATGCAGTAGGGATGAATGTACATATATACATGCACGTATGTGGTGTGCGCCTGCTTTGAACCAGACCAATTCTGAAGTTACGAATAATAAAAAAATTCGATAAACTCTAATTGATTTAGAAAATAATGAGTCAAGTGTAAAGAGAAGTTTTGAGCACAGATAAGGTAAAAATAGACTGAGTCCAATACTTTGATAGCAAAGATCAGGGCCGCGTTCCGTTTCACGCAATACGCGCATTTATATATATAGTTCATGTTACATATACTGTAGGAAATGCGTGAAACGGAACGCAGTCCAAGTAGATCACAGATCACCTGATAATCAGTCGGTGTCGCTACTCTCGCTAATACAATCGCAGCCACCTACCGGTATCCGGATAGTTCGAATATTACAAATGGTAATGAAGAGAGTTATAATCACGTTGTGAAAAAATTATACTGAACAAAATGCTGAGGATACTTGCGTTGAGTCGTAAGCTCTGCCGAAATTGTCGTGGATTCAAAAATGTAATAGCACAAAGGAGGACGTTCCTATCGGAAGCTTATCGTTGCAATGAAGCGTGGAATCGCAGATTAGAGTCACCGTTGCTGCAGGAGGTTAACCACTCGGCGATGCTCATCATGCTCGAGCAAAAATTCGCGAGTGTCGGCAAGGTGAGCGCTGTCGACATTGACATTTTCGTCAACAGTGTCTCTGATGACACTTATGTCAATGAAGTATTAAAGATCCTGCACAACCTTCGTATGTCGCCGGAAGCGACGAACATACTCGAGTCCACACATCACGCTGTAATACGATATTTGTGGCAGCATAATTTTATCGAGGAGCTACACGAGATCGTCAACGACCGGATCAATTATGGCATCTTCCCTGATTATTTCTGCTACAACTTTCTCATGGACGACTTCATAAAGAAACAGGATTATGCATCTGCCGCGAAGATAGCAACCTTGGTCATGTTGCAGGAAGAAACGGAAAATCCTATCACGAACGCGTTGTGTGTTTACGCATGTCACAAGTACCTGGAGAATCCCGAAGAATGGAAAAAACCCGAAGTTCCTGTGGATACCTCCAAAGAAGAGATAAAGGTGGGCGTGGAATTTATAAGAAATCCTTTTTTCGATGACCACTTTGATCTTACTGATCCGAAAGATCTCGTCGGTAAGACATTGAGTTTTCATGGAAAGCACCAGGCGAATGTTCTGGGAAGAACCTGCCAATTGAGGGGTTTAATGTTGTATAAAAAATACAATCAAGTGTTGCACCTAATAAAAGAATGGATGGAGACAATACAGGATAAGATAGTTTATGATGAAGTGTTTGAATTAATAACCAAGGACAATAGTGAATCCCAAGATCAGAGTTCCGAGGAACTGAAACTTGTAGAAGATCAATTATCCATTTTAAAAGTGAAGCAAAATGATAAGGGAAATTTAGTCGAAGCAATAGAAAATGCAATTAGATCTGCTGTAACAAAAACAGCTGATAAAGATGTTTCTAAACTATATCAGGTAAGAAATATCGAGAGAATATATTTATTTGGGCCCAGTTAATTATAGTAGGTTATACTAATTAAATGTCTTATACTCTTTCAGGCTTATCTTGATTGGGAACAAGTAAGAACTTCCATATTGGAAGATCAAATAAAAGCAATAGAGACACAAAAAAAGATAGCGAATATGGAGAAGATAAAGAAGAATCTGGAAGAGAGAGAACAACTCTTAACATTCTTTGACAATGAAGAACAGATCGAATTGAAAATAGAGGAGATAGAGGAGTTAAATCGGAAGGAAGACAAACGTATTCGTGCTATGCACGGAAGTGAGAAGAAACTGAGAAAATTGATTGCCATAGAAGCTTATATACCACCAGATGTTAAAAATAAAAAATAAAGGAACCGACAAAAGTAAAAGACAAGTAGAGCGCAAATTTCAGGTTTAAATTGAAAAGAAAGCAAATCATCAACAGAAGTGCTGCTTATCATACTCTGACATTATGATATGTGTTTATACTTATTTTATAAAAATAGCTTGTACACGTAAAAAAATGTATATATATAAAATATTAGAAAATTAATTCTATCGATATTTCTTACATACTCTATCTTGTTCTCACGAACGACGCGACGGTTTTTCTCTCAGCGCTTTATTTTTCTTATAGCCATATCGGATCTTCTCAGAACCTCGAGAAGCACGAAAGGCATATTCGTAGCTACAAAAATTATTACTTTATAACAAATAATGTTCCTTTTAAGCATCAATGAATGTTAACAGTGTGTCTTTATTATACACTTGGCCCGAGGCTGTGGAAAGTCTATGATGCCTGCCAACTCCAGGCCAAGGCACATATATTTTTTGTATAACTTCTTTTTCCTTTAGCAACCAACTTAGAATCGATTCGTGAAGACTCTTATGGGCAATATTGCGTTATATTATCATACTGGTTGAATAGCTAAAAAAATGTTTGGTCTTCGATGCATTTGATCGTGTGTATTCGTTTATATCCTATAAAATAATGAAAGTATATCGATATTATTTACATACTACGTTGCGTTCAAATATTGAACACGTTCGTCACTAGTGTTACACAAAGGCAGCTAAAAATGCAGCATGGACTATAGAGAGCGACTTTCAGTTTAAGCACAGTAACGAACGTGTTGTAACAAAAGTCCCTCGTACTACGTATATAATCGTGAAAATCGTACTTTATACCTGTACTAGATTCCCATCTGGTCCTGTATATTGCAAACTGTTAAACGACGCCATGTTGTACATAACGATCACGAGGCTTTACTTTGAAGTTGTGCCGTTAACGCTGCGGTTTCCTGCTTCATCTGCTTCAAATCGGCGGTTATTCTCTCCAAATTGGCGCCTACATTCTTCGTGGACTCGGTATCGATCTGGATAAATGTTGGATCGCAGTTATGTAGGAACTCTACACAGACTCGCAAATTTGTTGCGAGTCTCGAAATCTTCGTTATTCCGACACCTTACCTGTTCTTCCAAGTCCCTGATCTCTCGTATCGTCGCGCCTGTCTCCTCAACTAGACTCACGAGTTCGTTGCAATCAGAATGTAGTGTTGCCAGCAACTTGTACGCTTTCCTCGACGCCTCGTTCGTTCTCGCATCTCTAAAAATCAGTTCATCAACGACGGTGAAGGACCTCTCCACTCTACCGGTAAGCATATTAATCTCCTTCTGAATTTCTCGAGTATCGGCTAGGACTTTGCTTATCTCGTCACGTTGTTTCCTGACATTATTTATTATCTCTAAAATTCGTTGAGTATATGCAGATCTGTTCACTTCTCTCGGAAGCTTCTGAACTTCCGCGACCAACTGCGAATACTGTTGATCTTTATTTCGGCATTCTTCCTGCAGCTCCTTCTCCCTCTCTTTCAGCAGCTTTATTTCGTCTAGTTTCTTTTGACTCGCGTTCTACGTTCGAAGTATAATAAACAATGAAGAGATATTGATCGCATCATAAACTTGTACATTTATGTTTTAGCCATACTTACAGCTTTTGTAGAGTGTTTCTCTCTCTCCTGCCTGTACCTTATGATTAGAGGTACTCTGTGCTTCTCCCATTGATTTGCTAAATTGATCAATTTATTTGTGCTAGCCTCTATTATGGATTCCAATTTCTTTATATTTTCTGGGCCGTCCTGTAATAGTTCGTATGTTCTTGCTTTGATTTTCTTTTGCTCCTCACTAGTTTTCAACTCTTTCTCTTCATTTTGGCTGGTTACAGTCGCTTGTGCTAATCTAGTAGTTAACTTCTTAATTTCATTCTGTAATTCTTCTATATTTAATCTAAGACTCTCGCACTCCACTTTCATGCTTTCTATCTCAACCTCTTGCTTTGCCACATTCTTCAATGTTTCTTGATCTGGAAGCACTGAATGTGTTGCAGATTTTGGTTTCACCTGAGAATCCTAAAATATAATAATTATACATTAAATAATAGGATTTGTCTGACAAGCTCATGTATGAAGAAATATATACATATTTTACATATTTACTTTTGAGATTTGAGCCTTGTTGTCTGATGAGAACTTACTAAGCTCACTAACAATGTTACTTGCATTAGGATAAACATTTTTTTCAGACTGTTGACTGTTGAGCCAATTTATGCGCTCTGTAATATCTACAGAGCAGGTATTAAGCGCTCTTGCGTTATACGATATTATGGAAGGTAAAAAGCATGAAATGTTTTGCATTTGATCAGGCACTGGTTGTAAATAGCGCATATTATAGTCTTTATAATCTATAACAGAAAAATACTTTAATTATGTTTTTACAACAAGAATGTTTTTCTTTTCTTTCTGACACAAAAATAAAGATAATTTAATTGTATATATCAATATTACATTACCATCTTCTACACTTGCTACCGGTACTTCGATATTTACAGATGTGTAAGATGTATTAGCTCTTCCTCTATTTCTAAATTCCCTTTTGTGACAATAATGTGGTAACCATGGTATCAAAAGTCCTTGTGATATCGCAGATGCAATCAACTTTTCTAGCAATGCAATCTTACTCATAGACTCGTTTATGGTTTTCTCACTTTCCTTTGGCAGTTTTTCAATAAGAAACATGAACACCCTCCGTAAATCTGCTTCTGAGTTGTATAGAAATGTTTGATAGCCAATGTCACCTCGGTATCCAAGTTCCTGAAATTTTTACAAACTGATATGAATTACAAGTAAAATTATATTATATTGTTTAAGTTCATATGCTGTGAAAAGATACCATGCATGTCTGCGCAAGAGTAGCACCCAGTCGAAAACGTGCTGCCATGTTTACAGGTAATACAGTTGACAATCCTAAACCTGGTCTTATCGCTTCTAAGCATCTTACTGTTGCTTCCACAACTAATTCGGTATTAAAGCCACTTAAGTTTGTTACACTCTCTTCAATGTCACTAAAAGCAATATATTTATATTCTATAGTAATAGTAACGTGAAATTTCTCAATGATACTAAAAGTATTTCTTGATAATTACGAAATAAGTAAGTCAGAAACTGACTCAACGATATATATTTCAACTTCAATCTAAAAACTTTCCAGAATACAAATAAACATATATGTATTTTCTAAAACATTTCAATCTGTTCGCCGATATCTTCTAAAATAAAAGACTTGTAGGAAACGCCTGCTTCACACACTCGTCGGCGAAAATCAAACGCGATGACAGTTCGTAAAGTAATCATCGCCGATAAACTCACGTGTACAAAAGCCGCAAGGGTAATCACAAACACCGCCCATCTCGATACATCAGAAAATACGGCGAACGTTATCATTCATTTTTATATTCGAACGCAACTTACCAGCCTATTTGTCGCAACGAGTGTACTATTATATTGTCGATCTCCTCCATCCTAAGTAAAAAGATGAAAATCCTGGGAGCCGCTCTACCGCCCCGTCACTATATCGCGTGTTTAATATCACTCACTCACTCTCTCTCTCTCTCTCTCTATCTCTCTCTCTCTCTCTCTCCCTCTCCCTCAACCCTCTCTCTCTCTCTCAATGTTGGCTACAGGCGCCTAATAAGACGATTTCTCTTACGCCATTCTTGAATGTGTTTGTGAACTGTTAAATTACAGGGATTGGTTGATTTCGATAAGGTAATCTTTTGGTCTGTTCTTTGTAGCTGCACTGTTGAACTGCAGGTGCAATAAGTTAAAGTGAGACAAATATAGGTTTTTTCATTCTAGCTTATTGCACCAGTTCAGCAGTGCAGCTACATAGAACAGACCAAGAATATGTCTCCAGTTTTATCTTTCCCGCATTCACATAGGGATGTGTCCTTTATACATTTGCTGGCTAAGTGCAATCCTGTGCATATATGGATTGATCGGATTCTTGCCATTAGAGCAGTGATGACAAGTCGTAGGAATTTTTCTCATATGGGAACCGTTGTGCGCATGCGTAAGCAGACGTTAGAACTCGAGACGCAAGCGTTTCCAAAGAATGGATTCAATTCAATTCAATTCAATAAATGGCTCTGGGTAAAATAAGGTACTGCTTAAACGCCACTCTTACGGTGTAGATAGATTAAATTCTGTAAGGCTATTTTCCAGTAGTATGGAGGTCAAAGAAAAACAGAAACAACGCGTACGCAGTCCCCACGATCAAAAAATATGCATAGTTAAGCTAAGACTCCATGCATGCGGTGAGCTGCGGCAAATGCTGCGGTGACCAATCAGGAGGGAGGCGCAAGTCCGGTTGCGGCAAGCTCCGGCATGCGTCTGTCTCCTGATTGGTCACCGCAGCCGTTTGCCGGAGCTCACCGCATGCATGGAGTCTTAGCTTTACAGGAACCACATCCAACCGCCACGGAGGCGAACAAAAGACTTCTGGTAATGGATGTAAGCGCAGATAGTAGGCGCAAACATAGACATAGGAATATAGGGACAGAGCATAGAGTTGCGGGAGGATAACCATTGCGGGACGGCGCGACGAGGTAAACTGTACCTAAATCTAATTGGTGGTTGTGCCGTGTGTAAGTATTTGATACATACATAGATGTGTATGAAGTTGTGTGTGAGTGAAATTATGAAAAAAAAGACACATGCATAACCTCTGCAAAATACTGTCAGTGTAAATAGTTCTTATCATTTTGTTACATTTACTATTTGACAGTGACAGCCAAGTTGTTGCATCACACGCTCTGAATATGCGCTCTATTGTAGCCAATAAAACTTAGGTACAGTCGCCCCCTGCATTTCAGCACAACTCCCCTCGCCTATCTTATGGGCTTATACTCTGTCCCTATATTCCTATGGCCAAGAGCACAGGCTTTTGCATAACGCATAACACATAACGCATAAGAGAATAAACCTTTGGGCAAGAACCCAGGCTTTTGCATAACACATAATACATAACGCATAAGAGAATAAACCAATTAGTTTTCTTCATTTCCCTTCTCAGGACAGAAATGAAGAACTCTGATTGGTTGATTCTCTTATGCGTTGTGTATTATGCGTTATGTAGAAGTCTGTGCTCTGGCCCTATGGGCGTAAATAGTGCGCGCGAAAGGTCCCGTGCGTCTGTCCGTCAAAGTCCCTTACAGTTGTTCCGTGTTTCTCCCGCGAGTACTTAGGTTATATATTCATAATGTAAAATGTTATAATAAATAAATGTAACGATAAATATAGTGATAAGTTAAGAAAGAGCTGTGATAATAAATGCAATAGGAATAATAAATATAATATATTGGCTGTAGATGTAAAAAAATTACAAATTAATAAGTTTTATTATTATCTTTTATTATTCATATATAAACTACATTATATTTATTGAACAGAAGCTTTTCTCCTTCCCTATAATTTCCTTCACATTCCTTTCATAGTGGGGACCTAACGATATCTTCGAATATATATGTCGTGGACATAAAGGTTGTCACTTTTTCTTTAATGACTTTCGGGACGCATCCCGACTCGAGAAAGAAGAGAGCTGCTGCTCCGCCTGCGGAGCACGCCTGCGCAGTAACTCACAACGAAAGGCGAGAAATGAAATATACGTGGTATGACATAAGTATGTCAACAATCATTGCGTTTAGCTGAGGAAACCGCTTAATGAGCGATTAATGACTATTGGTCCTTACTGTTAGATCCTTACATTCAGACCAATAACGTTGACAAATTATTCAACAGTTGCTCAACCGTTGAGTGTCGTGAATGTACCTAATTCTTACATTTTGAAAATTCAGCAGCGGAGGGGTAGATACATAGTGCAAATCATTCAAATGGCAATGCGTCTTTTGCAAGGTATTGAACAGGTATGTATATTAAATTTTAAGTGAAATCGTATTTATTTCTCTAGTCACTAATTGCTCACTGAGCAGTTTTCTCCGCTGAATGCAATGATTGTTGACATACTTATGTCACACCACGTATATTTCATTTCTCGCCTTTCGTTGTGAGTTACTGCGCAGGCGTGCTCCACAGGCGGAGCAGCAGCTCTCATCTTTCTCGAGTCGAGATGCGTCTCGAAAGTCATTAAAAAAAAAGTAACAACCTTTATAACTCGTCTACAATAGAAGTCGTAGAGTCATAAGTCGTAGAAATTGACCAATCATAGTCCGGTAAGAGAAAAATAATCGACCGCGATTGGTCAATTTGTACGACTTATGACTCTATAGGCTCGTCTACAATAGCTGTAAGAGTAAGGCTGTAAGGCTGTAACGTAAGCTGTCAGCGAATGAAAATATTTCATTTCGTGTCTTGCAACCTTACAGCCTTATTTTTCTTTTATGACTTCTATTGTAGACGAGGTATTATGTCCGCGACCGTCCGTGAAGCTACCACAGAGCTTGTTCAGTGCGCATGCGCGACTTTTTCCCACGACTTAAGCCAGCGGCACACGGTGCTTGTTTTCGTGCTGGATTGCTTGCTGGATGAAAATACTGCCTTCTGATTTCCGAAAATGCATGGAAATGCACCAGTCAGGATGCAGTATTTTCATCCAGCAAGCAATCCAGGGGCTGTATTCCGTACTCGCGTACCGATATTTGTCGATGTCGTTAGCAGTATTGCGCAGCTTTTTTGTTATATGAAAAACCTGCGCAATGCCGCTAACGACAGCGAGAACTATCGATATGCAGATACGGAATACAGCCCCAGCACGAAAACAAGCATCGTGTGCCGCTGGCTTTATCACTGTCCCACGCAGTGTTGGGCTCTGGCGAGAATTTTCTCGCGCATGCGTACTGGGCAACGCTTAGAATCGTCACAGACGTAAAAATATTAGGTATCGCTAGGGTCCTGCTATATTATGCATTGTAATAGATATTGACAAAATATTATTATATTTTCGTTTCTTCTTTTCCTCGATGTCAGTTGATGTCGACGGCTGTGGATCATCCATTTCCATTGCTTTCACTGAATTCACTTTGAACACACGGTAAAAGTACAAGAAAGGGCCCCTTTAGCGGCTTTAGCTTCTACTGTTATACCCAACATACGACTGTGAATGCAGCTGATTTTTACCTCTGACGTCACGTTACGCATGCGCACGGAGGCTCGCTGCGCGAAAAATCGTGCCAGAGCCCAACACTGGTCACGTCACCTCATGCATGCGCTGTAGCGTCGCAATGTATTGCATCTAGCATCACTTGTACCTCGCTTGTATATGCTAATATAACCTAAATTCGAAAGTTCTATTGCTACTTGAAATATTCGAAAGAAATATTTGCAAATATTTTATTAAATTTCAATACATACATACAGTGTTAAAGCTACAAGATGTCAGAGCGCAAAGTATTAAACGTAAGTATGAGAATGTGAGGCGAATAATTATTTTGCATAACGTACTATTTTCTCCAATTTAATCTATCTGGGTATTACAATTTTAGAAATACTATCCACCGGATTTCGATCCGTCGAAAATCCCGCGCATGAAATTGGCGAGAAATCGTCAATACACCGTACGATTGATGGCTCCGTTTAACATGAGATGTAAAACATGCGGTGAATATATCTACAAGGGCAAGAAATTTAATGCACGTAAAGAGGACGTCGAGGGCGACGATTACCTGGGCATACGCATTTACAGGTTTTACATCAAGTGCACACGTTGTCTGCAAGAGATATCCTTTAAAACTGATCCAAAGAATACAGATTATGAGATAGAGGCAGGTGCCACAAGAAATTTCATGGCATTAAAGTTGGCAGAGGAACAAGCTCAGAGAGAAGAAGATGAAGAAAAAGAAGAAGAAGCCACTAATCCAATGAAACTTTTGGAAAAGAGAACCCTCCAGTCAAAACAGGAACTAGAACTGCTGGAGTCTCTGGAAGAATTAAAGGATTTAAATCGCAGGCAGCAGACAATAGATTATGATCAAATGTTGCAACAATTTGACACAGAGTCTAATAGACAACGAACAGAAAAGGAACAAGAAGAATTAGATGAGCAATATATTAAATCTGTATATGGTAAAAGACAAATGACAGGAACTATTGTAGAGGAAGAAATTGAAGAAGTAGAAGGAAAAGAAAAGGAAAGTAGAGGAGAACCTCCTTTAAAAATGCTTAAAATAGACGAAGCAAATGGAAAAGAAATGGTAAGTGTTGACAATGTTTTTGATAAATTTGCTTCCAATTAAAAATTGACCTTTCTAGTATGTAAGTACTAAAATAATCATTTATTGTTACGTAGGAAGATTCTGGACATACCGCTAAACTTACTAAGACATCATTATGGTCAGGAAGCGCAGGATCATTGACCAACAAAAAGAATACACCCTCTTTAGGCAAAAAAAGCAATATTGGAATAAAGATAAATGCAAAACTGGTGCAAAATAAAACCATGTCCGAAGTCATGGTTTCCAATGATAAAGAAACAGTCTCAGGATCACAGGAGACGCAAAACACCCCAATGAGTATCTCGGATGCAAATACAGGCACTAAATCAGATAACACAAGCAACAGTCTCTCACTGTTAGGTGCATATTCAGATAGTAGTGACAATGATAGTGATTAATAGAGAGGTAAAAATTAATATATTTCTAAAATGTACATATTTTTATGCAACAAGATAAATGCACAAGATAAAAACATTGTGATATAAAATAAATGGGATCTACAAATAGTAGGTTATAAACACGTTTTGTTAAACATTTCAAAACATAGAAACAGTAATCGTATGAAGTTTTAAACTATACACACAATTTTTGCGAGCGTAGCGCTTTATATGAAATTCACGATGTACATGTTAATGATTTGTTGTTAGATCCGATCTGCGAGTTATGGATTGATACGTTAAGTGGACTGTGGTGACGAGTACAGAGATTTCTTACAGGATGCCGAAGGCTCTATTCCTAAAACATAAAGGAATAAATTATCAGAAACGTAAAGCGATTGGAACTTGGTCTGTTTAGTTGAAAGGCTAGGCACTCTGTAAGAAGCTCTGTTGTCGAGATACATAAATACTAGTACAACGTAGCAGGGAGCACCTAGCCTATCGATACAGACCATTTAACACATTCGACGCGAAGACAGAGTTGCTAGATGCAATATATTGTGACGCTACAGCGCATGCGTGAGACGACATAGAACACGCTGCTTGAGTAAAAGTCTCAGTATCGTATCTTTTTTAAGGTATTATAGCGCCCGTATTATACTATGCATTGAGAATTGCAATCGAGTAAATTAGATAATCTAAATCGTGGTTATTTTAATTGGTCCGATAGTAATTCTCAATCTACATTACAATTTTTCACTTAACAATGTTATTGTCACATAATACAAATATTATATAACGGTTATATAGTCGAGTGAGAAATTATAATGTTAATGTAACGTAACTGTTAATATCCACTGGACTTAATATCCACTGGACAACATAATCTGGTATAAGGCACTCGCGCAAGAAATGCAGGAAAACTATGCGGGAAGACAACTGATCGGACAGCGTGGGTCCCTCCATGGACCCTGTGATGCGCTTTATTACCGTCATTGGCATGCTTTCTTAAGCGTGGTCTACAATGGCCGTAAACAGTAAGAAGCGTGAACACTAAGAAATGGACCAACTACAGTTGATTATTTTTGTCATAATCGACTGTGATTGGTTTATTTCTTACTGCTTACGTTTACTTCTTACTGCTTATTGTCATTGTTGACCACATTGTAGAGCTCTACGTCATCTCACGCATGCGCTATAGCGTCGCAATATATCGTATCTAGCAACACTGCGTGAAGGAGTCGAAGAATTTTTTCAATTCCGTTACAATAGAAAAAATTGTATATTTTACCGTAAGAAGAAATTATAAAAATATAAACGTTATGAAAAAAATTGCAATACGGATTCACAGAGAAGATTGCCTCGAATGTGTTAATGACCTACTTATTTTATATTTATGATGGCAACGAATAATTTATTAAATAATGTAATGCATATTTGCGTTATAACTTATTGGATTAATAGATTAAGTATTGACTAATGTTGGGTTAACGGTTGGTTATTGCTCTTCAAGAGTGATAACTTCAACATACATCAAGAGAAATAGAAAATCGATCAAGCTTAATTTAAAGAGCTTTCTTCCAAGTCACTTTAAATCTTTGTTTTAAATTCCCTTTCCGTGTGACATTTCCCATCTTTCCCGGTTTTATAACATATGTGATTCTTTTTCCAAGTATAAATTATAATGCTTTAAAGAAAGGAACTATTTGATTCAGGACATGAAACTTTGTAAGAGCTTAAAGATCTTAAGAATTGCGCAATCAATTATAATACTAAGAGTATCAATAATTATCTCGTGGCGTAAGCGATCAATGTATAAAATCACGACACTACGTCATACGAATAATCGAACCGCACCGCCGAGGGAACGTGCCGTAGAGAAATCGCCTCGAAGAGCGTCTACGACATCGTCGTTCGCGATGACGCGTCTCCCTGCTACAATCCCACCCGTCACCGCTCGTCACGCAAGGATTAACGATCCTGAAGAATCGATCTACATTTTCGTCAGTCGTGCCAGACTCAGGGAATTCATTGAAGTCGGTCGTTGGCTCGTCGAAGACTTCCAAAGCCGAGGAGCCTACGAGCCAACCGTAAAGAGACTTTCGAATGGGATCACAGCGACCCTGCTCGACTTGGCGGGCCGTGTCACCCTTGAACTTCTCATCACCCTCACGTCGGCATCGTTCGCAGACGAAAGCCTCTTCCTTGTCGGAGGAAATGCGATAGCAGTTGTCAGCGTGGAGTCTCGCGAACCTAGTGCGACACGAGACGCCGGTCGAGTTCAGCGGAAGATTCAGGCTCTTCGAGGGTGAAACGCGACGACGTAGGTATCGCGGGAACCTTTGTCTCTTCCGCGACCGCGGATGAACCAGACAGAACGCCGGTGTGGACTCTTCCAACAACGTTCGTTGCGACTCGCGAGGGAGAGCGTGCGACACTTGGTCGTCGACGACGGACGATCGATCGGATTTGTACAGCGAGTTGTGCTCGCTGATAACGTACCGATTACTGTTCTTCGCTTTGTCCCGCAGGTTCATTTCCAGCTGAGCGATGCGATGCTCGAGCCGCGTGCGTTGCGCCTGTGCTCGATCCTGTTGGTCCTCCAGCAGCTTCACCAGTTTCTCTAGTCGCATCACCTGCATCTGCTTGCTCTCCAATGTGGCGTACAGTTCCTGAATCGCTTCCGTTTTCGCCGCGATCTGCCTGTTGATCTGCGCACATAAATTGAGGTCATGGTGGTGAATTGAGGTCATTAAGGTGATCATGCAATGGAGTGAAATTTAAGAGAAGATGGAGAAGGATCTCGAAGGTGAATGAAAAACAGAAAGAATATGCGATGCAAGAATAACAATGTGGAACGGATGAGCTTTGGACGAGCTAATCCAGTCCAGTCGAAATTTTTGCAGCCTGCGCTGCGACGTTACTTCGTCCATGTCTTCGTAGTTCTCATTAAAGGGATTGTTGTCCACGCTTGTCTGCTGCTTCCCCTTGAGGATGGTCAGCAACTCGTCTCTGGCCTTGAGAAACTTGCTTTGTTCCCGCATCACGCGATCGCGTTGCTCCAATTCTAGTTGCGTCTGGGTCAAGCTGGTTTCCAGCTCTTGATTCTGTTGTATGACCTGAGCCAGGCTGTTCCGCAGGTCGCTGACTTGTTGTTGTAGCTCGATCGCTTCGAGTCCCGTGCTGCCGCCCTCTTTTGATTTTGCATGGAGGCAATGTTGAATCTCGGACAACTGTTTCTCCAACTCATCCCTCTTCTTTTTCCTGCAACATTCGTCAGAGCATTCTGAATCGCTTCGGCAAATGGTAGAAAGAAGAAGAACACGAAGAAGAGAGAAGTAGAAATCGAGTGGAGCGCATCTTCTGGAAAGGCGCAGAGATCGGAGCACCGCTCGATAAAATGAGAAATGGCAGGAAAGAATACGGAGAGGCTCACGCGAATTCGACTTCCTCCCGAAGTAAACAATTCTCCAGCACCAGGTTCTGAAGCTCCTCGGTCTTGACCATAAGCTCGACGGCCAGCTTGTCCTTCGTCTCGTTGTCGTCGTTGTCGCGGCTCTGCGTGCGAACAAAAAGGAGGAATAATCGAGACCGATCCCAGAGGTGAAGGAGGCGAAGGAGTAGAAGACGCGGTGAGTAGAAGGAGAATCACGGTTTTATGAGCGAGGGGCGCAACAAATCGAACGGTGGTTAGTTCTTATACAAGCAGAGCTCCCGAAAGTAATGCAAACTAACGGCCGCCTTGTGCATCACGGCGACGATCTCTTGCTTCTCAGCCTCCAACTGTTCGATCTTCCGCTGCTGCTTTTCCATCTCGGCTCGGGCCGCCTTCAGATCGTTGTACAAATGCACCTCGTTCTCCGTGTGTAGGTTGTCATCTAAACATGTCGATGACCGTGTGATAAGAACGAGCGGTCGAGACATGTCGCGATGGCGACGATGTTGACCCCGATATTTCCGTCGTTTAAGAGAGAGAGAGAGAGAGAGAGAGAGAGAGGAAGAGAGAGAAGGATGAGAACGTCGAAGGCGTCTCGATACCGCGGAAATTGCTGAGCTTACCTACCTGTCACAACTAGATTGTTGCTCTTCTCGCTGGCAAGGTCGCAGAGCAGCTGACTCTTCTCCTCGAGGCGCTTACAGCGTTCTTCCATCTCGATCAGAGCGTTCTTAGCCTGTTGCCTGAGAAATAGATTTTTAATTGGAAATTGTCGATAAAGAGAAAAGAGAAAACTGTCCCCGTCGCACAAGGGATGAGGTCAACCGAGAAGATTCTCCTAAACCGTAAACCAAACTGTAAACCCGAACTGTAAACCTCAACAGGTGTTGAGAGTTCATCGTGGAAAAAAATGGAAAAGCGGAGCTGAAGAGCAAGAGAACTCGCCTCTTCTCTCTTTCCTCGTTGACCTCCACGTCGATCGTCTCGAATTTCTCCGACAACTCCTTGATGATAGCGCTTGCCTCGGCTTCCTTGCAGGCCATCTGTTCTTTGAGTTCCAGCATCCTGAAAAGAAGCCACGTCGAGGAAACGTCGAAAAACAACGAGTTAATCTTATCTATGTCCGAGTGATTCCTTAGCGTTCGCTTATCAAACTTGAAGGAGATCTCTGACATCTAAGTTCGCGCTTTCGAATCGCTACAAAAATATCGAGAGAACAGAGTGTTCGACGAGAAAGAGAACCGTGTCTCGAGGGTGTCGCGCTGCTTCTCTATCTTCGACACCAGGTTCTCGCTGCTCTTCATCGCTTTGTGCATATCTTTTATCCTCTGCTCCATCGCTTGATCCTTTTGCCTTAGCTGCGCCTCCAGCGACTTGACGCTGTTCTGCAGCTGCTGCAGCTTCACCTCCTCGTTCACCACATGGCCCTCCAGCTCGCGAATTTTGGTGCGCGCCCTCTGCATCTGCAGCTCCATCATCCTCGCTTTGTCCTTCCCGTGATTCGCCTTGTCGCGCTCCGTCCTCAGCTCCTCCAGAGCGGCACTCAGTTGCTCCCGCAGGTCCCTCCGGTCGCCGCTCGGCGGCTCGTCTGCGCGCCCGCGACAATTGTCGCACTCGCCGCTCAGGCTCGAGGATCTCCTAGCGAGCTCGGCGACGAGGTCCTTCTGGATCGCCGCCAGCTCGTTCAACCGCGTCCTCATGTCCTCGTTGTCCCGTCCGAGGATCGTCAGTTGCGTCTCCAACTCCGCGTCGAGCGGCGCCAACACGCTGCCCACTTCGTATCGACTCGATTCTGTCATCCAGGATTTGACGAGGGACGCGAACGACGAGCTCTTGTCCAGCGCGCGCTGACACAGCTGTTGAGAGTGATCGCAGAGATCCTGCAGCTGATTCTGCAGCAGTGACACGCCGATTATCGCCGACTCGTCCGCGCTGATCGCTGCCAATCGCTTCTCGGCCAATTCGTGCGACGAGTCAGTCTCCATCGGCGGCATCGGCGACTTCTGCTTGGGACCGTCCACCAGGGGAGGCGATCTCGGGTCCTCGATCTTGCCGGGGTCTTTGCCGCCGGCCGCTATTATCTTCTCGCGCAGAGTCGACATCTCCTTGTACAGATCCTCCGTCGTTTTCTAAAGACGCGTGACAGAAGTGAGTTCGATTTTCGCGCGTTCCTTCGCGCTCTCGAAAGAAATTGAACTCGGGAAAAAAATTAAGCTTTCCTCTCTCTCTTTCTTTCTCTTTTTTATTGAGCCGAAAATCCTCTGCAAGAGGCTCGATATCGCTCGATAATTACTTCCTTGTCGGCTAATGTGCTCTTCAGCATCTCGTATCGTTTCTTCTTGCTGTTGAACTGAATTTCCATTTGGCGTTTATCAGCGGCTATCGCGGCGGGTGGTTTTTTGCTAGACGACGGTGGAGCCAAAGTCTTCATGGTTGGACGGCGAGCGGAGTTGTTGTTGGAGCTAGTTCCGTTGGTGGACTCCTCGCACGGTGAGTGATGGTTTGACGAGTCACCCTGTCGAAGGAGCGGAGACTCTCTCGCGATTAATGTCGCAGGAGGGAAAAAGTTTCGCGCCCCGGGGAGACGCGCGCAATTCTCGATTCGGGCTGACGTTCGCGCGATGCAAATCGCGCGCTGCGCGCACAAAGCGCGCGATAATTTACTGACGTCGGGCAGCCGCTATTTTTCCAACGAATTACGCGCTTATCTTGGCGCGCAGGGGAACACACGTCCGCGTTAAACACCGCGTTACTCTCACCTCGTCGCCTGGTAAATTTAATCCGAGAACATTAGAGCGCGGAGGTCACTTCCGCCCCAGCGGGCGCTAGCTTATACGCCGCGACGGCACCGTGAGTAACACCAAACATCGCGTTATACGTAGAAAACTATTTGGTAATCGTGCGGTCATTAACATACTTGCGTGGCACTTCGCCCGAGCCGGGTCGTCGGAATTCTACTCCTGGCGTTTTTATTTCCGGTGCTCAACGTCGCGGACTTTCCCGAGCAGTTGGACGGCGGACGTTCCTCCGTTTTTTCTACAAACACGCGAATATGACGGGGGATGTGATTAAACTGATCGAAAAGAAATATCCGAGACTCTTAGATACACAGTCGGACGGCGAAGACGAGCGAACGAGAGAGAGAGAGAGAGAGAGAGAGAGAGAGAGAGAGAGAGAGAGAGAGAGAGAGAGAGAGAGAGAGAGAGAGCCTGGGGTGCGGTTCATATAATTGAAGGAGTTTTCCTTTTACCGGAAGTACAAATTTGCACAGTCGCGTGCACAGGTAAGCAGGAGCACAGTCGTGTGCTCCTTTCAATTCTGCATTTTTATTTTTTAGCACTCTTGACTGCTCATTCTTTTCCTCTGGCTCTCGAGGACTGTATTCTCTCTTGGTTGCGTCTTAAATGTAGGAAATGTCAGAAGACATACAAAGAGAAATACGAAAAGGCCAGTTATAAAGTACGACGTGAAGAGTACGCTTTGAATTACATATTGTAACTTGGTTGATCTCATAACCTATAATATTTAAAACACAAGGAAATAAAAGTTGCGCGTGTGATTGATTCGACGTGAAATTTATTTATTTATTAATCGGCATTATTTCACGAGACAAAATGAAAGTGAAAATCAACGAGAATGTCGAATATTCGGTTAAATCAAAATCATAGGAGAAACCATACGCAATACGGAATAGGGCACGTTATGATTTTGCAAAACTCTCTCTGCGTAATATTTAATAATACTACGATGTTGTGCTATCGCGCGTTAAAAAATTGCGCTCGCGAAAAAATATGTGACTGTAAATAAAGATGTCACGCGAGTCCGTATGATTTCCGTATTTTAGGGGTACCGGCACAACCTGAGGGATTTATCGCAACCACTTCGTTCAGCATCGTTCGGGCGGTGATACAACGCGATCGGCAACGGCTGAACTTGCAAGGAATCTATGTGAGATTTTCGACCGGGCGACGAAGAGTTTCAATTTCGTAGTCTTGTTAGTCGGACAGCGAGACGACCGAGCGCTGGCTCGCGCGGAGACAGTCGACGATTTCGAGCTGTCACGAAAACGCGATCAATTTTACGCCGGATACCTCGCGCAATGACACTTCCGAAGGCGGACAGAATGCACTTCACGCTTATCCTTGAGGCACGGAAAAGAACAAATAACGTTTGACTCGTGAAATCGAAAGATCCGCATGGACCGAATTGCATTCGAAGAAGAACCATTCAAGAGACATTTCAGCGCAAAAATGCATACACAGGCTTCATATACTTATCGTTTCACTTGTCATATACCTTTTATCTATTCTCTCTCTTTCATATCGTATAATTATTATTTATTTTTCGATATTTCGATAGTCGGTATTTCGTGAGAAACACGTCCATTCACACAACGAGTTGGATTATGACGGGCAAACAGCGCCGTTCTTTAATTACCAAAAACAGCGCGAAGAGTTTCGTCGCACCCGAACGAATAGAGTCATTCAGAGCAGCGGACAAGGTCAATTAGCCAGCTTAATTCGGTCCCTTTTTCCGAGCGCGAACGTAGAGCAGAACGCGGAGTAACTGTCGGTGTACTTTCTACAAACATGACGAGCTTACGAGTTTGCCCCGTAATAGGAAGCAATTAGCAGGCTTCAAACAGGAAGCTAGTGAAACTATCTCGCCAGACGTTCCCGGGAAAATTACCAAATCTGTCGGGGAGCAAGGTGTGCGCGATTTTCGGACGAATACTTTCACACACAGAGTCACACGCAGAGAGCTCGATCTCTTTCGCGGTCGGGAAACATTTCTTCGGGGAACGCGCGATGCGCACGCACGGCCGCGGGCCCGGAGTAGTTACCGCCGCCGATATTAGCCCAAGCCGGAGTCAGGACGGTTGTCAGTTTGCCGCAGCTCCGCGACGGTGTCGGACGTGCAGGGTGTGCTTCCTCGGGGTCGAGCTTCGTCGAGCTGCGAACGCACGTGACTCTCGGCGAGTCCGCGACGAGACCAAAGCAAGCGAGAAGAAAGGTGCGTTGAAGGTCGCACGAACAACGTCGCGGTGAGTACCAAATTGATTGTCAAATTTCGAGTCGCGAATTTCGCGCGGGTCCACACGCAATTTTTACGATGTTTCACGCAATCGGACGTCGCGCGTCGGTCTGTCACAAGCAGGATGCTTCTCGGTCGAGGGAGAAAGAGAGAGAGAGAGAGAGAGAGAGAGAGAGAGAGAGAGAGGGTGCAGGACGATTGCGATGCTTGAACGCGGGGAATTGAATAAGTCGGAGTCGATCGATGCTCCTTTTTGGCTTTTTCCTGCCGTCTTTTGTATGGACGAGACTCGGTCGGTTTTAGATGACGGGAAGACAGCACGCGAAGTCGATGGCTGGCAAAATACAAGACACGCATGACATGACGTCATTTATCTTGAAATTAATGTATTCTTTACTTTGAACCGTAAGAGCGCTCATAAATGTAAAGGGCGACTCCGTGCGAAGAGACACCGCGCTGTCACGCTCGCAGTATATCGTTTTGTCGTGCAAGATTATCCGAGATTATACGTCTTTCGTACATTGTTATTGTCGTCATCGTGGATTAATAATCGATAATCTCAGGACTTGTTCGAGTCACTGCAAGCGCACGGGCCGACAGTGCGCTTCGTTTAATTATCGAGCTGCTAATACGAGGGCGAGGAAAGAAATTCATTAATCCGAGACATCACTTGTACCCAGGCGAGAGTTCAGAGACGCGGAAACTATGGAAGACTCCGACACGTCGGTGTTCTTTTTGAAATTTAATTATTTCGCGCCGCGGTACTTCGCTCTAGTTTGCATCACCGGAATGTTCATAAAACAAAGCGCGAAAGAGAAATGTCTATTTTTTTTTTTGCAGAGAGGGACACATAATTATCATCCTCGTTCTCGCTCTTTCTCTCTCGCGCTCTCTCGCGGACCTCTTCCACTGTCTCTCCTTTATAAGTCGTCGAACGCGCTCTACTTCACCTCGCCCTTTCTATCTGCCGCAAAATATGCCACGTCGCGCGTCCGAGACGGCTGATTAAAGATTGAAATTTTTGACGACCGTACGTATCAGCAGATACGCAATTACGCGCCTTCGTGAAAAAGCATCCGTCAGCGCGTCTGCCCTCGGCGACGAGCTGTTTGCGCGTCGCGCGTTGAATGCTTCTCTCGTGCACGAACGGGCACGTTATATTCCGACTGTATTGTCAGGTCGCTCGCCGGAACAGATAAGGGGCTGACGGGACAAACGGGGGCGGCAAGGGTTTGCGTCCGCAGTGCAACCCGTGGATAAGTTGGATAAAAAGCGATCGAACCGCGCCGGTGATTTCCGTGCCAGCGGCGGCACGGTGCACAAGTGCATTTTCGCTTCTTACGAGGCGAGGGCGCCGGGGACGCGGCCCGCTCTCTTTTTGCGAGCCGACGAGCTGAAAATTTGTGCAAGCCCGGCGAACCGTGCGGGATAACGCTCGTCGGCGTGTTTTTTTATCGCGACGCCCATTAAAATAGAATGACTCTAGGATAGAATGCGGAACATTCGACCGGCAGATCTGCAGATTGGTAGCAAGAGGAGAGAAAGAGGGAGAGGAAGGGAGACAGCGAAGAAGGAGAGCACGCAAATTTCGCGACGCATATCGTTTGGTCTCTGTCTGTCTCTCACGAGTGTTTACGAATTGATAATCGATATTACGGACGATTATAATTTCAGGAGGAATGGAAGACTTCATGGAAACACTTCGAAGGTCTTCATGAAGTCGCGTTTCATTCCCGGTGAGAATTTTGCTTGAATATCTGAAATTTCGTCGAGACTTGAAGCAGCAACGGAGAGGATTTTGAGATGCAACACTATTCGAGCTCTATTATCCCCCTCCACTGCTACAAATGGTTACTTATTGCGCAGCTAGTTAATCACTGCCATTTTCTGTGTTGAGGCCTAAAGTAAGATCTGCTAAAAGCTTACGGAATAGCTCGAGGCATTATGCTCTCTTTCTCTCTCTCTCTCTCTCTCTCTCTCTCTCTCTCTCTCTCTCTTTTTCTATAAATATTTTCAGGAAACGGATATTCGGAGTTATTGTTAATATTCAGCCATTACAATATTCTGCCTGCATCTAGCCTTTGTAAGACTAAAGAAATTTAAACGATTAAAACGGGTGGAGAGAGAGAAAGAGAAAGAAACATAATTAACGGATAGGTGAAACAACAGACTTTCTTTTCTCATAATTTCTTTGTTATTATTTTTATTGACGTTGGAAGCGTCGGTAGGGCTTGGAAAAAGAGCTCGCGATAATAAACAACAATCGTGTGCCCGAAGCGGCGATAGAGATTTAAATTTAAATTTGCTACAATAACAAGGTTAAACACAAGCGAAAAGAGGGCATTGGCAAATTCGAAGTGCTACTTACAGTCCAAGTGACACTATTAGAGACGCAAAACAGCACTTGCGGGACTTACATCGCGTTACATTGCGTTGCGCTCGAAAATTTCGCTCCGGCTTCTCTCAATGTGTCGAGACCGCTCGTCGGTGAGATGCTCTCTATTTTCGACAAATTTTACTTGACCCAATTTGGACGTCCGAGTTCTAAATCGAGGTTGCGATTAATCAACCGTTCGAGAATGAACTTCGGACGAGCGTCAATGAAGCAACAGTCTGAGCGAACGCTGTAATCTTCGATAATTATCCTCCTGGTTTGGATACCTACGTCTCTGGCTGTTAATGAATCGCAATGTGATTAGTGCGACGCGGGTCTCCTGCTCTAGCGGTTTCCTCTAAAGTTAGCGTGTGTGTGTTTATTCAGTTTAATGCCGCGGCTGCACGCCGAATCGAATCGATCCCTCGTCGATGTACGATAGACAGCACGTTCTGACTCGCCAGAATAATGCCGATGACGGGATTTACTACGGGCGGGCTGTTTTGAGCGCAAAATCAATGCTTCACTCGGGCAGTAAACGCTTTTCGAATAGCTGGACATGCTTTTTTTATACGAACCTTTACCCAATACTAGGGTGACGTAGATTGGCAGAAAAGCGTCAGCTTTTATCATTGTTCGTGGAACAGCTTTCGACCTTTCTCCATGCGAAAAACGAGCAACGATTCTCATCGAGACGAGTGTTGAGGGGAACGTTCCTACAATCCGCGCATCCGCGTTATTTCTCTTTTCAGACGCCAAGACGCTATTTTCGCCAAATTAATTTCCACTGTAGGCACGCGTGAGACAGGAAAATAAAATCGGATCACTTTATCGTATTTTCTTGTGAGATGCGTGAAAACTTCCCGTGTTCGCTGTCAATTTTTCATCGGGAGAAATCGGTACCCCGTAGGAGTTCAGACCGCGTCTGCAACTCACGCTTCGTGTACGTGTATGCGGCGGGCATACATTACGGGAAAAAATATTCTGTCACGCCGTAACGTCACTGGAACGCAATTTCCTTTGGAAAGCATTCGGTAAAGCAGAACGTGTTCTACGGGGGTGTAAAATCTCCGGGACCGCGTCGCGTTTTCGCGCGGCGCAAACATTTACGCAAATAAAAAGAAAAGTACGAGAGCGAGAGAAAGAGGAAAAAGGAAGGCGAATAAACGAAGAGAAACGGGAGACGGGGGAATACGGTAAACGCGTATCGGCCGCGGTAGACATTACGGATTACGGGCACGCCGTTAAGGATTAGATCGTCTATTTGACGGAAGCATGAATTCACGGCAGCCGCGCCGCGCACTTTCGCCCCATCCACCCCATCGCGCACGGTTTCGATCCTCGTAATATCGCCAAGAGAAGGTCCTCGCTATTCATCGCGCTCCTCGTTTTTCTCCCAAAGTTCCAAACCGACATATTGGCGTCTCCGGCAATCCGTCGTTCGAAGTTGCACTTTCCTCGATACGAGTCTCTCCCCGGCGAATCCCGCCGTGTCCTTCTTACCGTCCCGCGTGCCGGCAGCATTCGTCGTTTATTCATCCGGCAACCTCATTTACCTCGACAACTCAACGATCGCTTTTCATCCCGATTGGAAGTCGAGCACCGCGATAGTGCTTTATAAAATTTAGATAGACCTGCATGAATCCGCACACGTGCACGCTTAAATGGAGGATGTAAAATAACGAGAGGAGATGCTCAAATCAAAATCTCGAAGATAGCATCTCGAAAATGAGATTATTTTCAGCTTTTAAACTCACGGCGCATACACGCGAAAATCTCGAAATTGCCAAACGACATGACAACACATATCGCAATTTTATTACGTGTAGATCGATTATGACCGCGTTGGCCGGCGTAAAATAACAATATCAGGTATCAGCAGCGATTTTCGTCCTAAATTTAATATCTATTTCAAATTAAATCGTACTACAAAACACGTTCGGCTTTAATCGCCCGTTTACCTGCGCGGCCTTTGTGTGTGATACATAAAATCATTAACAGTTTATAACATCGTAGAATTAAATTAAATTATACAATTGAAACCGACAGGCGACCCGAGCGAGGAAAGAATGGTGCGCCATAATCTTTTAAACATTAAAACTAATTCGTTAAACATCCAGTACCAGTATCAATTTTACAAAACCTTTACCGGAAAGCTCTGATTATATTCCATTTTATCTTTCTATTTCTCTCTTTCTCTCTCTCTCTCTCTCTCTCTCTCTCTCTCTCTCTCTCTCTCTCTCTTTCTCTCTCTCTCTCTTCCTCACTCGTCACTTTTTTCTCCGAAGCTTGCGGGTCTACATAAATCGAATCGACTTTCTTTCGAACGAATCGGGGATCCGGTGTAAAATAATTTAATTTTAGCGATTTAAGCGTTGTAGAGAGGAGAACCGTGGCCGCACCGTCGAGTCTCTCGATAGATATTGTTTGAGTTCCTGTTGGTGTACCGTGCGCTCCGAAGGTACAACGAACATGGCACGGCGCCAGACAGAGTGAAATGCCATGCCCTATATACACCGGCTTGGAGCAATATATTTAGGCACTTGGGATTTATGGTTAACCAGCTTATTAGAGGCCAGTGATGCTCACGGGATCGACATGTCGAGCACGCGTATCGTGTTCGTCGCGTCTCGCACGCGTACGATGCGAATTCGTGAGGATCAGCTTTCGCGCCGCGCGGAAAAGCACGACCTCGCTTAGGAACAGCGTCGCGCTGCTATCATCGGCTTTTTTGCCGCGGATGATTACGGGACGTGTGAGATTTTACCGTGTTTGGAAATAGTCGCGTGCGTGCATGTATGGGTGGATGGATGGTAATAATTTATAGGAACGTGGAGTAGTTAGTAGGCAATTAACCGCAACAATTCATCGTTTGAATGTTTCATCCTCATGATCGATATCCTGATTGTGTCTAGTGGAATTTAATAAATTAATATAATACGACTGCACTGTGTTGCATACAGTGTAGCGTAACGCATTTCGTTGAATATGTAATTAGGATAGCTAATTAAAAATCGCTATCCCGAGCTCTGATCGAACGGCATAATTTCCATGCATTGTCGGAGTTTATTGAACTTAATTTGAGTTTCCGAGCTTTTTTCTAACTATCTTTTGAGAATGATGCTTCGCGACTCTTGCCCTTCCTCAGAGATCCACCAAAGATAGAGAGGAAATGTATTTCTTTTTATTAGAATAAATTCTCGAATATATACAGGATGTCCCATTTTAACTTTCGCATTAAAAAATCTCGAAAACTATGAAAGATATTAAAAATAGCTAAAATATGTTTTCCATGATTTCGAAGGGGAAAGAGAATGGCATTATCAGTTTTTTATCTGGAGGGCATTTTCAAGGTCAGTTGAAGATCAACTTAATTTTTTAAAGTAGAAAGCCCAATTTTTTATTATATCTTCTTTTTCTACCAATTAATTTTAACAACTTTTGTCTAAAACATTTTTTTATTTGCCTAATATTTTTTTTAATATTTAGGGAAAACTTAGTAACTTTTTCAACATTTAACTTACGATATCTCGTTAACTATTCGTCGAAAGGAAAAATAGTATTAGACTTTTTTACTTTATTTACTATTAAGAATATATTACTATAATAGTGTCCTAACTTTTGTTAATTTAATAATTATGAAATTTCCAAAGGTTGATAAATTAACAAAAATTAGGTTACTATTATATTAATACACTATTATAGTAATATATTCTTGATAGTAAATAAAGTAAAAAAGTCTAATACTATTTTTTCTTTCGACGAATAGTTAACGAGATATCGTAAGTTAAATGTTGAAAAAGTTACTAAGTTTTCCCTAAATATTAAAAAAAATATTAGGCAAATAAAAAAATGTTTCAGACAAAAGTTGTTAAAATTAATTGGTAGAAAAAGAAGATATAATAAAAAATTGAGCTTTCTACTTTAAAAAATTAAGTTGATCTTCAACTGACCTTGAAAATGCCCTCCAGATAAAAAACTGATAATGCCATTCTCTTTCCCCTTCGAAATCATGGAAAACATGTTTTAGCTTTTTTTAATATCTTTCACAGTTTTTGAGATTTTTTAATGCGAAAGTTGATGGGAAAGAAAATGGGACACCCTGTATATTATCGATACCACGACGGTATACCGCGAGCTCAAACCGTCCATGCACTGCTTTGAGGCTCCACTTTCGCGGCCCAGTGCATCACTTCCGTCAGCACACGGTACGTCTCGAAAGCACGGTCGTTCAATGAACCGGGGAAAGTGCGAACAACCTGACGTACCCCCGTTTCGCCGCGATCCTGCCAAGATCGCTGGGCATGATGACTCAGTCGGCGATGCGCGCATTTAAAAGCGACGCGTTGTTGCACCGAGCACCGTGGCCAATTGTCTCACGTGTTGGCATCGCTCTACCTCACAGTGCTCACGTGCATTTATCCGCCTCGCGAGTTCTCGTAGCCGTTGTCGTCGGCGTTAGAGACTTCGTCTCTTCCTGAGGGAGTCGGTTCATCCATTCGAGCGAGACTCAAGAGATTCTCCTTAAATCTTGATTTTCCGGGTGACATGTGTTTCAATCGTGATGTTTATCCCGATATTTCAGGCCGCTGAATCCGCTGAAACGGCTAGCTGAAGAATCACGGTCCGTCGCTCCTCTTCAATCACCTTGACAGGACCGCGAGCTGAGCTTGCGATTCAGACGGCGAAATGTTGAAACGCGTCGGCGCGGCCATGTCGGTGCGAGGGAAATGAGCAGATTATTCGTTTCGTTTAAATTTTAATTAAAGCGCATAATGGGGATATAAACGGGAATAACGTGGGGGCTGTGACGCGCCTTTGAATGTGGAAGGGACCGGGATCACGCCTCTCGTCACTCACCCTCCCCCGCCATTCCCAAAACTGATTTCCATTTTAATTTCGTCTATTCTCAGTCGCTCCGAGCCGTCTTCCTTCTTTTATGCTGTAATCGACTTGCACGTCGTTGTAATTCCAAACTTGACAGCATTCAAGACACAAATAGTACAATCAGGAAGATTGCAAAGAACAGTGATAGAGAGCCACGACTTGTCGGACTGTTCGATATACGGTAGCGACGAGCGCAGAACGTCGCACAGAGAAAGAGAGAGAAAGAGAAGGAGAGAGAGAGAGAGAGAGATCAACAAATCTAATTTTACGATATCACAAAGCGAAGCGACGATTCGAAGAACGGCTTTTCTACGCCAAAAGAGAGCCAACGAAGCCAAGTGAAAGATACGTCTCGAATTGTATTTATTTGCCGCGTCTTCGTTGGATTCATCCCAGTTGAGCTCTCGTGCAATCGACGGAAGTTCGTCGTCCGCGATCAACGTGTTAACGAACTCTCGTCGCCGACGAAAATCACGTCGTAAACGCGTAAACATTCTCGAGCGGCCCGACCCCCTGTGACTGTAAATATTTGTTGGACGGGTGCATCGCGCCCGCCTAACTCAACGGCAACGATTAAAAGTGATTAAAAATCTGCGACTCGTTTTCACGCGCGCGTCCTTATCTCGCCGAGTGTTATCCGCCGACGACGCGCGCATTTTGCCCCCGGCGCGAGAAAAAGAGGATGCGACAAGCCGGAAATATCGAACGGCGTTCAACACCGAAATATGGTCCTCGTCCGCCGATGTGTCCGCCGCATAGCCGCCGATACACACGAGCGACGCTAAAACTGTTGCGGGTTCATCGGATATGGGCGTATTGTTATGCCGGTTTTTTTTCCTCGTTTGCAGACGATGCGCAGCGGCAGGATTGTGCACGGCGCTTTGTTGCTGCTCGCCGCGGTAACGAGTGCGAATTCGACAAAATGCAACCGGCTCATAGACGGCGTTACCACGCCGCGCTCCAACGCCGAAGGCAGATATAACTTTTTCATGACTCTGTACAACAGGACCGAGCTGGTTTACGCTTACATGCCCAACACACGCTACAGCGGTAAGTACACAGTCGTGCGAGCGAGGCCGGCGCTGTGTGCGTGCCGCGTCGACGCGAGAACTCGATTTTTCCGCCCGCCCGTGTGCGGAAGAATTGAAAATGCGCGTCCGTAGCGCGCGCTGCGATTCTATTATCGCGAATGCACCCGGAGATTGTGCTGTATCTTTGCGCGCCGGGATCTAGGTTACATCTGGATAAATTACAAGCGAGACCTTTCCTTTATCCCTGAGAGTTTGCACTTTCCAGGATTCGCCGATGAGATCTATTAGAGAGCTCGCGTCGGGCTCGTATTTTCAGCATAATTTGACTTCATTGCACATTCGATGGAAACGAATCCCTCAGCGATCGAATAATTGCGATGCCGTTTGCGATTATCGCTGGCGGAAAATGGCCGATTTACCGTGCATTATCGTCTCGGAAATCGAACGGATCATGTTGAATGGTTCAGTGCACTTAGAGCGCATCGCTTTTCCATATCAGGAATATTTTTCACTGCGAGCCGTGATTTTTAACGAGATATGAATTTCTCGGATCACGTTCCCGGATTTGTGTTTGATCCAGACTCCCATGTGAAATTAATCGAAGCGAAATTAATCAAAACAAAAATTAAGAAAGAAGCAATCCAGTCAACAAGAGCCAATGCGAAAGTATCGATGGCGAGTACTTGATTAATCATCGTAATTTAATCACGCAGTAAACATTCGCAGTAGTATTCGCTCAAAGTCAACGGAACGTTTCGGTCGCGTCGTTTCCTGTATTCTCCAGTGGCTCACGTCGCACGGGGACTCTCAATCGGCATTTGCAAAATGAGAGATAAATTAAAACGACCGATCAATTAAAATGACCGAGTTGCGCGCGACTCGTCGCCGGTGACGCGCGGCCGAGGATATATGTCGTTGGCATATCAATTAGCGGCACTCCTACAGTCGCGCAGGCACCTCTGAAATTCGACGCGCGCTGATTTCTCCGCGCCTTCGACGGTAATTGCGGCAATTATAGGGGAGAATCGAGTCGGCGAACGTGGCCGCTTTTCCGCGAATCGCAACGTCTCGGCGGAAACCGCGCTTTGGATTGAAAGGCCGGCCGGAGATTCGGGAAGCACGATTTACGACTCGAAAAGGTCATTTCGCCTCGAAAGTCGGGATAAATGCCGCGCGACCCGGCCAAGCCGCGCGGTGAACTTTGACCGATTAGCTTTGCGCGGCTACAGCTTCCTAATCATCCTTCGTCGTCCCGAAGACTGCGCGTTTCGCACAGAGTAGCGAGTCGCTTGGCCGCTTACATTCTTCGCGCTAAAATTCCGCCCTTACGGTAATATTAATGCAAACCTCGCTGGCTCTTCCGTGTGACGAGCGGAATGTAATTTTGATGTTTCAAGCGCGGTTCCGGATATTTTCATTCATGGGCGAAATTTGCGAAATTTTATATTCTCGTTTCCTATTGGCATTTATTTGATTGGTCTTGCGTATGTGTGTATGTATGTGTATATGTGTATCAAGACCATCGAGATTTCACAACGCGTAAATATATTATAAGCATGTAAATATATTATAAGCACACTTAATTACGGGATAACAATGAAATCACTGGCGCTTATTATTTACTGGTGCGATACCTAAACACAATAGCGCGCGTAGCGTCGGTGCCCTCGGTACATAATGTATCGTTTGTCCTGAGTATATATACATACATAGTCCTTTCGCGCATAAATTCGCGTTTTATTTGCTTACTTCGCCCCCGGCACATTTTTCCAGCTCGACTGCACAGCCATCGTCTCGCAGCTTTTTCGCGTTCTTTATGTCGAGTATCATTAACTCGCGCGGCACGGTATCATTACCTCGATCGATAACCGTAGTCCCAAGTCCTCGACACGACGAGCTTAGATAGCCCCGAGAGCGCCGATACTACTTCCCCTTCCCCTCGACGAAAGACCTCGCGAAATAAAACCGTCCGATCAAAATTTTACGGTAGGAATTTTACGTCGCGTCGGCGGAAATGGCTCGGATTCTCCTGTAAAAATCCGTCGTCGTCGCTCGTGCCGCGGAGACTTTCTTTCAAAAGCTTTTCTCTGATTTGCCGAAATGTGTGCTCAGACGTTTAATGCCGTAGGTTTACAAGATATAAAACAGTATAACGAAGCGACATTGTACGTTTTCGATTAATGAGAGGCTCCGTCGAACGAATCAAAGCGGAAAAAACTGACGAGAGCTGATGTGTGCGGGCATTATATTACATTCAATAATTAACAGGCAGCGTGCAATAGTTAATATGCAATATGCGATACTCGAATGCATCGTACCTAAAAAGTAGTTCCCATAAATAAATAAATGAAGGAAAATACGAATGAAAATTCATTTTGGCATCCCCTTCGCTTGGATTGATTTCGATTTCAACCCGAGGATCTAATCGGTCCTTCGCTTTAATTTGTCACAATTTCCGATTACTCGCTCTCTCGCAGGAGGAGAAGCGAGCGGAACGGCACGAGTGTACTTTTCGGAACGGAGCACTCTCGTACGCGACAAAATCTTAGGTCAGTTTCGCGAGTTTCGTTTAAGAGGAGCTTCGCACAGTGGAGCATTTCGCGAGTGGCCATAAACCGGCTCTGCGCGCCGGTTATAAATTCCGCTGTCTCCTACGGAAACGTCTCTATTTGTCCGGTCTCGGCGATCCGACGCAATAAAGTTCGTTTTCTTCTCTCTCTCTCTCTCTCTCTCTCTCTCTCTCTCTCTCCCCCTCTCCCCCTCTTCTTCCTCTTCTTCTTCTTCCTCGCTCCTTCGTGAACATCTCGCGAAACGCAACTCGTTCGTACGACACCTCCGGCGTCCACTAACGCATGCAAATCTCGCGGATCCATTGAATTAATGCCTTACGTAATGCTGGCGGGACGCCAGGTGTGAGGCAGCGCGTCGACCCGCAGATTTAATGCGAACGGATTCAATGGCCGGTGGTCGGTCCGATAAAATTCTATTAAATCGCGCTTGTAGGAGACACAGAGCACGGCTTCGGTTCGCCGAGGTTAAATTCCACGGAGGGAAAGGCCGCCGGCCGTTGAAGAGCGCGACGAAATTATCGCGTCCGTCGTTTCGTCCTTCGTCGCAACGGGAGGTCGCGAAACAATGTGATGAGAGATAGTAAAGGCGGCTAATCAACATATATATTAACTGTGAATAGACGCAGACCTCAGCCGTGAATGGACTCGCCTTCTTTGTTCCGTAGACGCGAGGGTGTTCCTTCCTCCTCTACGCGACGCGGCCCGAGAGGGCGGGAATTAATAGTCGGGATTACAGTCGATTAAAAGGCCTCCGTGGCTCGATCCTCGCGAAATTAGATCGACGCTAATCGCGCAATTGATCCTACGTTCCGAAATCTGTCAACATTACAATGGCATATTCAGTCCCTTCTGGATTACTGAATCGAGAGTGCGGAATTCCAACCACCTGGATGTCTCAGGTATTACCTGGATAGTCGAGGCATTCAAGTGCTGCCCTGAATACCTGGGTATCCGAGAGTAGCTGGTCATTTCAAGTGCTCGCTGATTATCGATTTTTCTAACGACGCATTGCAAACTCGCGACTGATCCGCTATCCGGGTATCCTGGTAGCACTCGTGTCTACCTGACTGCGAAAATACCAGGTTGTGATAGCCGTGGTCGAGAGTAAAACGCAGCAGGAGATCCTTGCGACTCGCCGACCACTCGTACCGATCGTCGTTCACGAGCAGGGAAAGGCTCCCAAAGTCGAAGCGTATTTGCGAATTAATGGAAGTTACCAATGCAATTGACATGGCCGCAGATCAGCCACGTTAATTGCCTTTAAGCGCGGTCGGCCAAATGTTCATCCTCTTTCTTGGTTGTTCCCCGCCATTTCCCTCAGTGTATACTTATAGCGGTGTTGCCTGCCCAGCGGCGGTTCGTTAATTGGAATTAGTTAACTGCGCGGTCGATGACTAATATCACGGCGCGTCGAGGCGTCGATTCGCGCGCGTTTTCGATTGAGTCAATTTTCCTGCCGTGTTTACGCGCCGTAATTAGCGTGATATCAGAGCTTCAAGAGATCGCAAGCGGGCGAAACGATGATGAACCGGCGGAAGTAGCCGCCGCGACGTATGGTCGGACGCGTCTCCGCGGCCGCATGCTGCCCTCTTTTTCCACTTTTCTCTCCTCATAACGTCGTTCGAGGCCACCCGGCTGGGACTTTACGCTCGTTTCTACGAGCGTCGATTAAACCTTGACCGCGCGGAGTTTAATTAAAATCTCGACTCGGACAAAGACTTGAAACTTCGGAAAATGAAAGGAAGTCGAACTTAAAAATAAAGTAAGACTCTCCGAGATAAGTCCGGGCTCATCGCGGCGAAGATCGCGCGCTAAGTCAGCCCGCGAAAGACTTGCAGTGCATCGCGGTGTACGCCGCGTTCTTATCGCGTGGGTTTCTCTTACCTGCAATATTCTCAGGTATGTCGGTGTACACAATCGTGGACAGAGATGTTGTCTCCGTCGATTTTTACGTTTCGGAATGCATCCGTCTCGTCCCCTCGCGGAAGAATTGTTTCGATGGAAGACGAAAAATAGCGGGCGATCTCTCTGCCTACCATCATGCGAGAACGGTAGAAAAAATTGCGCGCTAATGGAAAGTGCTAAACGCTGAAATCTGAGTCCAAAGTCGCGCGCGTTAATTGTGACGTCCGCTTAATACGAATTTCACTTCTATCTCGAAACGATCTCGATGATTTTAAACAACGGTATAAACGATTTAGCGGGACAGAGCCCGCGTGTGCGGGCGGTTACTGCCACACCGACGGCATCGATTCTATGTCGGCATACGGGCAAATTTGTATAGATTTATTTCCACGGGAAAAATTGCGTTAAGAGAAAAAGGGAGCGTAACGGCTAACAAAAGCGCCACTATTTTTCCTGCTCTCTGCGTCGCGCCGCGACACCGTGAATCATGCAACCGCGAGCTTCATTCGCGAATTTGCCATATCTCGACATTGGCGAACCCTCGTCGACGAGAGAACGGTTTGCGCTGTTGAACTAGTCGCCGAATGCTTCCGAAAACTATCTAACGTCGTCGTTTCATTCCTCGCGATTGTATGAGGAATTTCAACCACGCGGAATTCAGAGAGAGATAGGTAGATAGATAGAGAGAGAAAGAGAGAGAAAGAGAGAGAGAGAGAGAGAGAGAGAGAGAAAGAGAGAGAGAGAGAGAGAGAGAGAGAGAGAGAGAGAGAGAGAGAGAGAGAGAGAGAGAGAGAGAGAGAGACAGAGACGCGACTTTATGCGCATTATGTACTATAAAGCTCATATATACTATAGCTGCTGTGCATTATTATTCGAAATTAATTAATAATTCATCCTCGTCGTTCCATAGCAACGCGGGAGAGGCAGCATTACGCGCGAATAGATGAACTCTATTGTTCTGCTTTACAAGTAATCCGCTTTGTTATGGATGAAAAATCGGATTCTCTTCCCCCCCTCTCTCTCTCTCTCTCTCTCTCTCTTATCCGCTCCTGGCGAAATGAGTCTAGAGCTGCAATCGCGCGTATTCACTACGAAGTTGCAAAATGCAAGCCGCGAGCCCAATCCAAGCTTTCACGCCGACTTCGAGCGTCCGATAAACTTGGATAATTCTAAAATCGTCGCGAAGCCGAGATTAGTTGGCTATCGACTGTCTCTCAAAAGCTTGCATTTGAGATAAGGAGAGAAGGAGGGAGGGAGCGAGAGAGAGAGAGAGAGAAAGAGAGAGAGAGAGAGAGAGAGAGAGAGAGAACGCGAAGCAGGAAGTGTATCCGACGATGAAATCATCGGTTTCGACGCGTTCGTGCGATCGGAAACATGCCCGATGCAGTTTGCGAAATTAATTAATGCCGCCGGCTTCTCTCTCGAGGTCTTCGGACGCGATTACTCGACGATATGGGAATCCGGACGCTCAAAGAAGACGCTCTCGGCGCGAAGGTGCGCGCGTTCACCTTTAAACAGACGGACGTGGATCCCGACGCGAAACGCACGGCGCTACTCCTCGGGCGGTCTCTCGAATGTTGAGGGGCTCGTTGCGTGGGAAACGCGATATCCCGACGAAGGTCTCAGTTAACTGCGTTTTTGCCGTTAATTCTTCTAATTCAGGGTTATGGGAATGATCATGCGGGAGGTGAACGCAGCCGCCGTCGCCGTCGGCGTCGTCGTCGCTCGGTGAGTCATTGTCGCTGACGCAATAATTTGTCGCGTCTGTTTGTGCGTCGATAAATACGACGCTCTTCGATAGAAAACGACTGGAAACAGCGACACGCGGGAGAAAACGATCCGTTCACTTTTCCAGTGATGGGATTCATCACTCGACGGCTTTAAATCGACGCGGAACTAACGGGATGAAATTCTGTATTTTTTATATTTTCCTGCTATGTAGATAACACGAGGGAAGGGGGGGGAGGAGCTGCGATCGCGGAAAATTCGTGCAATCTCTCGTTTCGAATCAAAAGATGCGGGTATTCGCGCTATTTCTCGTCCGCGATTAGTGATGTCGTGGCGCAGAGAATGCCGCGCGGCGGATTGAAACGTTATGCTTTTTCATTCACATTTGTACAATGTATAAAAAATCCCCGTTTTCGAAGCGTTTTTCCACACGGGAGATCCGACATGCAGTACATCTCACGCACGTAAAGAGACGTGACCCGAGAAGACCCGTAAAACACCAGAAGCCATAAATGGCACCAAACAGCTGAGTATTACGTGCTTCGATGCAGAGAGAGTGACCTACGAACCGACAACCTTGCGACTGCAACATTTCGTAATATGCCTAAACGCCTTTTATCTAATTGTTTACGCAATTCCGCGTTCTCCCGATTATTTCATCCCTTCGGCGAAAGGAACCATCCGATCTGATTTCTTTATCTCTAAATATTGATTAACTGCATTTGTATGCGCTGGAGATGTATAAAATAAATTAATATTAATACATCGATGTTAATATCGATTATGTTGACATTAATTTCATGATATAATATAATTAATATAATTACCCGTTACTTAAGTAAGGAGAAAAATTAGTAGAATATAACATACACGTAAATTTATTATTGGCGAGAATTGAATAAGATCTAAGGTGTATTCTTTAAATAAAGTCGCACGCAGAATGTGTAGCGCTCGTTTACACATGCCGAAGAATATTTCGTAATAGGAAAAGGAGTACGCGAATCCCCTTGAACACGCGGCGCCGGATTCACGGTGTGTCGTGTTTAATCCATGCTATAAATAGCGGGTCGGTATCCGGGCTGATATATTTCTATTCCAAGAACACGAATATTCTCCTCCGATATAAATGGAGAATCTATAAGCCGATATTTATACACGTTCACTCTTTCTTTCTCTCTCGTTTTCTCTCTCTCTCTCTCTCTCTCTCTCTCTCTCTCTCTCTCTCTCTCTCTCTCTCTCTCTCTCTCTCTTTCTCTCTCTTTCTGTCCCTCGCTCTTTCTTTTTTTCTCTTCCTCCCTCTCAACACCTCAAATAAGAAACCGAACTTCTCCGCAAGCTTCTTCAGGTTTTTTTTCATTCGTTAGAAGAGCTATTAAAGGATCCGCTGCAACCGACAGTCTAACCTACTTTCGCACGTATTTCGTAAAAATATGAGAGAAAATAGAATTCCAGATTGAGGAGATTTAATGTTTGATATCGTTCGATTAATTTCTATTGCGCAATTTATACACACATCTCTCTCGTAAGAGTTGGTAAATTTTAATATTTGATGTGTCATTGAATATATATCATTGGTTAATTCAATCGGATAAAAATGCAATTCGTTTGCACACATACGTTACATACACACGCGCACGCTTTAAGATTGCCTTCGATTCAGCGAGAACTTTGTTCAAGTTCTCAATTTACACGGGCTTCTCTCAGTCACGCTCGAAGTACTTTGTGTTATACATTTTATACATTTGTTAACTAAAAACGCATAATCCTCATGTGAAACTATCGATCGTACGTGTTGACGGTGCAACATGGCTGCCGGGAATTTCAGCGAGTAAATCCCAGATTAATACCGATCGATTAGCGACCCCCACATTATGCACACATTTTCGGCATTGCGATTAGTTCATCTGCAATTACGTAATTCCAAGCCCCGTACACAACAGTGGAATTTTCCGCGCTTCGGTTATCCGATCAATTATCGAAGCACGAAATGTGGAATTCGCGGTCGCGTGTTTCGGAAGTAAGAGTAATTTTACTTTTGCTGTCATTCCTATGTATTTTGTCTACAAAATCGATTACGAGAAGAGGACGGGAGGTCGGCACACAGTTTTCGGGCGCATTATACATATTATTCCATTTTTCAGAAGTTCTAAATTCTTATCCCGACTTATCATCAAGAATTCAAGCGTTCGCGAAATCGCATTCTCTCTGAAAACCAGGTGGGTCGTACTTGGCCGTCAAAGTTTTCGCTTAAATTTTCCATTCCTGAAGCGGGTCGTGTGAGATTTTGTTCTCGCTCGCGATTAATTACGGAATACGCGCGAACAAAACGGAAGTTCCTCGTGTTCTTTGCCTGCTCTCTTTTCCCGGCCGAATTATTGGGAAAATTTTTATAGACACGTTTGATCGCGCAGAACTTATGACGCGAGCAATTCCCGACAAAATAGCTCATCGCTCCGCTGTCTAATTACGGCGATGTATGGGACGTTGTCGGGAATTCTGTGACGTTATAGCTATGGCGTGAAACAATGTACAGGGTGCTCGCGATATCTCGTCGTTTCTCTCTACGGTTATTACTCGTGTTTCACCGATCAGTGGCTCCGTTCTCATGTCTGGTCATTTTCACGGACGGAGAATAATTCCGTTTCTTTGTGTTATGACATTTCCCCGCGAGCACGTAGACCAAAACAATGAACTTTTCTCTAATAAGAAAGGAAGAGAGGAATGACAGTATCACAGAGAGCAAATGTTCCGCCGTGTTTCATCTTTTAAACAAAGGAATCGCCTTTTCATCACCGTCATAAATCATTTCGAAGCAACGGTGCAGATATGAGATATCTCGCGGCAACGGCGCGACACATCTCGACCACCCAGTAGAAAGTGTTGCAATACGGCCGTACCAAACAGAGATCGCCGATCATTTCAGTAACCCTGCAGATCGACGGTACCGATCAGCTGCATCGGAAGTTCACGAGATTCCTAATATCCGCCGAGGCCGAAAATGCAAACGACACCGCGGACGTCGGGGTGTTTGATCTTCAGGACGACACGATGACCAAATTTGCGGATAATTGCGCGAACGCGGTCGTGGAGACGTCCAAGGTGTTGAAGGAAGAAGTAACCGTTATCTGGACCAGTCCTCCCGAAGGTAGCGGTTGTATACTCCTCAGGTGATGGGATACTCTTGTTAACATTAACCCAGCGCGCGGAAAGAGAGAAAAAGAGAGAGATCACTCTCTGTCGCTCGTTTTAGCTCACTGCTTTTCTCGTTGCGAGATTTTATGAAACGTACTCGTATATAATAATACATACAAAATTATCCGGGGATTCCGGGTATTTTTAAGACACCCTGTATGAGATCTCACGGAGAGAAAGAAACGTCCATCATAGCAACCAGCAAATTTCATTAGCTCAAAAAATATATCTTTTATTTTCGACAAAGGAGAGAAAGAAACGTCCATCGTAGCAGCTAGCAAATTTTATTAGCTCAGCAAATATATCTTTTATTTTTGACAAAGGAGAGAAAAAAACGTCTATCGTAGCAACTAGCAAATTTCATTAGCAAATTCATTAGCTCAGAAAATATATCTTTTATTTTCGACAAAGGAGAGAAAAAAAACGACCATCGTAGCAACTAGCAAATCTCTCATTAGCTCAGAAAATATCTCTTTTATTTTCGATAAAGGAGAGAAAAAAAATGTCCATCGTAGCAATTAGCAAATCTCTCATTAGCTCAGAAAATATATCTTTTATTTTTGATAAAATACTTTCGTTGTGAAAAGAAATTTTGATAGACTTTCCGGAGCCTTCCGGCCAGTCGGTTTTCCTTTTTCGTTTCTGAGCCGTTCCGTTACACAGAGCGACGGTAATGGAAACGCCGGATACATGGTACATGGACGACTTCGACCTGATCCTCAACATGTGTCAAGACTCAAAAGCGGAAGCAGACGATCAGGGCCCGGTGTTGGCGGAGTGCTGCGCCTGCGAAGAGGCAAAGTACGAGGTCACTTTTGAAGGGCTGTGGTCGCGGAACACTCATCCAAAAGTACGTGAGCGTGAGCGTCGGCCGCGAAGTGAGAGAGCGCGTCTATTCATTATTTTCCATCTCGGTGCAGGATTTTCCTAGCAAAAACTGGCTGATCCGATTTTCCGACGTGATCGGTGCGTCGCACACGGGAGATTACAGGTTTTGGCATTACAACGGCATGGCCAGCATCGGGCTGCGACAGGTGGCCGAGCACGGCGCCACGCGAAAATTAGAGGGCGAACTGAAAGATCGGGTGAGAAAGAGAGAAGGAGAAAGAAAGAGACGCGAAATGTCCGCGGCGACTTTTTCGTCTTATCGGCTTTGTTGAATTTACGAAAAGTACACGTATCACATTAGCCCTCGTTGCAGAGCGAGCACATCAGGACTATCATCAAGGCGAGAGGGATCAGTTACCCGAACGTTACCGGCAGGACTTTCGCGGTGTTTCGCGTGGACCGCAGGCACCACTTGATGTCTCTAGTGTCCATGATCGGTAGGACTGATTATGAAAAGAAATATTATAATGGAAATAAAGTGAAACTCTGTCCCCCCTTTCCACTATACATAAACCCTAGATGAACAGAACGAGAAAAGCTCTCGCGAGATCGATCTCGCTGATTTCGTTGTTTGCCAATAAATAAAGACGATGAAAAACACACCGTCATAAAGTCTCGCGTGACCGCAGGAATAAAAATTCGTAGATCCATCGCCGGATTGGATCGTCGGCGTCTCCGGCCTCGAGCTCTGTCTGTCTAACCGCTCCTGGATCGAACATAAGGAGCTCAATTTGTACCCGTACGATGCTGGTACCGACAACGGCATCACATACTTGGTGAGTGTGAGCATCGCATTAATCGATCGTTATATATTAATTAATCATACTCGAGAGGCGTAACTGGGGGAAAAACATGTATTTATAGAGAAACATTGTATTTATAGATACGTGATTTTTGCTCGTAGCGAGTTCTCTCTACATATTTGAAGCGCGATTTCGATATTTTGCTTTTATAAGCTATTAGTTTTTCACCCTGCTCGAGCAATTTGCGCGATAATTGGTAGCATTTGAGTGCCGATTAAAAACAATCGAAAAATTCGAATATCAATGGTAATATTTAATTGAACGTCCGGGTACCCGGATGTTAACATCGCCAGCTAGCTAGGGTTTAGCGCTGTTAATTGCCCTCCTCTCGATTACTAGTCGCCCAATTCGCCGACGGTGCCGCAGGAACTGATCCGACGTATCACGTCTACTTATCCGAACGACTCCAGATCGCCCTTTTACGATCCAACGGGTCTGGACATGAAACCCCTCGCTAAGCTCTATTTGAACAGGCAGAGATTATACGAGAAGACTTGCGACGAGGCCGGCGAGACGCTGGGCGAAACAGGTGCATTGGCATCGAATAAGAAAAATAGCAAGTATCGCTTTGTTTTTTTAGTTTCTCTTAGTTTTTTCCATCGTCGGCTTGCCGGCGCCGATATTCGCGAGGGAGATTTGCGACGACTATCGACTATATCGCGGGTCGAACAACGAAGATGCGAAGAGATGCGAGAACATAACGAGGTATTATTCTCTTTCAACTTTGCAAAAAATTTCAGAGCAGAGCATTGCTTTCCAAACTGTAATTCCCTTGATTGTGTGAAAAATTCATGTTCGGCCGGAATTAAACGCGGCGGCTTCAAAGTGCCTCGGTGGCTTTGAAGCGATTCTCGGACGAGCTTTTTTTCAACGATTAAGCGATTAACGTGTATAAAAGCAACATCCGTCGTTCGAATTTTCGTTCTCGCTTACCGACTCGCTTTAATTATTTCTCGAGTCCTCTGCAAAAAAGAGCTCTTTTAAATGGGACACTCGTAAAAATGCGTCAATTCACGTTTCGTTTAACGACACATTTGTTTCGTCTTATTTGAGCGAGTCTTTGTTTGCACTGCACGATAAGTCATATTTTTGTTTCGTGTCCATCGCGATTAAAAATCATAGGAACTAGACAGGGGGATCTGTGCTTGGCAAAGAATATTGCATTTCCGCCGTTTGCCTGAAATTTCATTTGCCTGATTTCGACCGCGCGACTTTTGCTGGCAAAATTTATAGTTCGCGATTGCGACTGACGCGTAGACGCACGCGTAAATAACTGACGTTTCATGTACATGTACAGAAGTGTGCAGAGTCACCGCCTGGGGCGAATGGGGCCCGTGTTCGGTAACCTGCGGCAAGGGCAACCAGCTGAGACAACGTCATTTCCGCGACGAAGTGGCAGCGACCGCGAACAAGTGCAACACGGAGCTGACGGATCGAAAAACTTGCTTTAACGAGCAAAACCGTTATTGGTAATAAGTATGACGAGGCGTCGCTAATAATTATGACGCGCGACCGCGACTAATGACAATCACGACGGCCATGGTCGGATGCTCTCCGTATTTCGCGCGTGTTGGAAGCGCCCTTTGAAGCTCACTTCCTAGCATTCCTCTCGTTATTTCGCCGCTTATTTCGCTCGCGAGGATTTTCCGACCTACTGTTCGACTGTTACGTCCACCGGAGATCTCCACTTTTGCAGTCGGTTTCTTTTCACTCTCTTTTACCGCGCATCGAAGAGCGCCGTAGAGCGCGCACGACGGAGAGAGCTCGTTTACTTTTGACCGTTGAGATCGCGTTTCCGATTCGCCGTAGCGCCAGTTCCGGTCGTTACGACGGCACGCAGGACAGCGAGATGTGCCAACTGACCAATTGGGGCGCGTGGAGCTCGTGCTCGTCGACCTGCGGCGAGGGCAGCAAGACGCGGTCGAGAAATTTCCAACAGAAGAAGCACCGGAAGCAGTGCAAAGCCGTGCCGAATTTGCAGCAGACGGTCAGCTGCGAGAACGAGCCGTGCGAGGGCGAGGACGCGGAGGAGGTAAGAGAAGATTCGAATCGCGTGAGGAACAGCTACGAGGACGAGGACTATGGCGAGAGGGCGGACTGGACTGGAGAGGTAACCGAGGAATGGCTGCAGGTACGAGGTATCAGGATTAGGTGGTCGGGCGAGAACGAGTTTTCCGACGAGAAGCCGCTTTAACGAGTCCGATACGCGAGCCGCGTTTGCACTGCGCGCGTCCTTGCACGCGGTTGTTAAATTTGAGTAGAATCAAGAAATAAAGGCCAATGAGCAGGATGAAATAAAATGAAATAAAAACAGGTGTAAAGTGCGCGGGAGCGTGCAAGCAACCGCGCCAAATTCGCGCACAAATTTACACACGTGGCGCAACATTTACATGCGTGTTCGCTCTTTGGATAATTTGTCCCCTTTTCTCGTCGCTACAAACTTTTGGTTGCATTCGCTGTTTTCTGCAGACCGTCCCGTGACACTTTGTGATAATCGTGAGCGTGATGTTAATATATATTTATTTTTTCTTTTCTCCTTTTTTCAGCTGTTGGTCACATTGTTCTTGGTCGGGCTCGAAATATCTCTCGCGGAACGTCCTGAAATATATATTCGATTCTCTTGCTTTGTTCGTCTTCTGTTTGTCATTTTTTTTAAATTTTATATTACGGGAATGTTATAGACGCGGACAAAGTGTCGAGTCAGAAGTAATCAGAAAGGCAGAGATAGACTTCTTTCTTCGCTCGCGGTCCGATACGCCGAGATCTCTTAATTTGCAATGTTAAATAACTCTGTAACTATCGATCCATTAAGAGCGAACCACCGCTGGATTCGCGCGCGAATCCCCGGCTTTATCTAATTGATGGAGTCGGATACGTTTCCTAAGCTTCGTTTAATTCAAGGATTGCAGTTAATTTTCTGAGCTTTACTCAGGCATAAGATATGTTCAATTTGGTGGTCGACCAGCTTCGGATTCGTCGAAAAGTTCGCTCGCGCACGACTAACCATTCACGTATGCCACATAATAAATATCGAGCGGATATCATTTGTTCGATATTGTTGTCTCGAAATTATTTTTGTTTCGATATTGTTGTTTCAAAATATACGTCTCGAGTCGGCTTAACAAGGTACAATAAATGAATGGCTTTTTAAAAATTAAAAAAAAGAAAGGATGCGAATGATATCATTAAAAAATAATTCTTTTTCGTTCTTTCTATGAAGTAACAAAAAACTTACACGCGATTTATTCATACGATCTCGCTTGTAACTTGAAGAATAATTTCGAAATCGGAAAATTATGCGAATCTTTTGCACGTTAACAAGAATAAAAAAGTTCAAGAGACGAAAACACTCGCAATTGGCGAAATCACAGTTACGCAGCATTTTTTTTCACCGACGCGCGCCAAGTTCTCCTGAAAGTTTTCCGAAATCAAGTTAAACAAAATTCACTTAATACCTGAAACGATGCAAAACGGAAAGCGAAAAAGTTTACCAGAGAGAAAGAGAGAGAGAGAGAGAGAGAGAGAGAGAGAGAGAGAGAGAGAGAGAGAGAGAGAGAGAGAGAGAGAGAGAGAGAGAGAGAGAGACGCTACTCAAACTCTGCGTTGCCGCTTTGAACTTCCGCTATCGACTAATCTCGAACTTTTATCATTTAAAAACTACCGGACGTAATAATCCACGCAGAAAAGGAAAGGCGGAAATGCCGGCTTTCATCACGTTGTTTCATTCCTCACAAGCCGTCGTTATTGTTATCGTTATCGCAAAGCATGCGGATACGAATGCGCGTACGAAGAAAAAACAAGCCGCGCTCGTCAGATATGCGCACAGATCCGCTCGATATTCATTATTGCTACGAAAATCCAACAGCTTTCGCTAAGTATTCAATCACCAGCCAGCGGCGACAGCTTCGCACGAGTAAGCGATACCTGCACCGTTTCTCGTAGAACCATCCATGGCACCAGCACCTACACGTAAGTCACACACGGATATCTGTCTCGCGAAAATGAAACACGCTCCATTTCCCATTTCGTTTGCTTGCGCGAAGAGAATTTTAATCACATTTCTTCGCTGTTTCGATGTTTCTGGGAGGGTGCGGGCTCATCAAGGTATGCAGCGAACGAGCGAAGCGCTTGGAACTCAAACGCGACGAATTAATTCTATCTCATCCCGAACGTTGCTTCTTTTAACAATCGTGCATACGAGATTTCACATGTGACGTGATGTTGAGTTGCTAGAATTCCATGTACAGGATCGGCTTGCACACAAAACTATCGCGCGTCGCTTTAACAACGTTTTCCACAGCTTAATTCGTCATTTGTAGCGACCGTCCAATTTTTAACATCGCCCATCTTCGCGCGTGTGTGAAGCTGGCATCTCATTTGGTGCAAACTCATAATCTATTGAGCTTCACACACGCCATCTTCGCAAGTAAGCTTCAAGTTGAAATTTCACTCAAGTACACTTCACCTGAAATTAGCTGAGAAGAGTGCAATTCTGTCATTCCTCGCTAATTTGATCATTCTTCGCTCGAATCCGCGTCACTGAAGTGGAAATGAGCTACGAAGGAGAAGAAAGAGCTCAATCAATTCATAAGCCGCGTAATCTTCATCTCTCAAGATACGAATTCAAGACGCCTCGCGGAAGTAAGCTTCTTCTGCATCGTCGAACGCTGCTGCGTTATATCATCGGCTAAATGCGCTTTCGAGTGCTTTCGGATTCGCTTGATTCACGTGACGACAGCTTTACGAACACGTAAACGACCGCTCGTTTCATCAATCCTTCCCCTCTTTTCTTCCTTCCCGTTCTCCAACCCGTTTACGCGCTGATCGAAAAATGAGCAAACCGGCACTACAAAATCAACATTCATTTGCGCGGCGGGTCTTTCTCGAAACGCCGAAATGTCACGAGCATGTAACCGACCGAATCGACGAACCAGTTTAACAACAGCCGCTAATGAGCACGCGGCAATCACTGCACTTGTGTCAGTACTTTACACGCGTAATTATCGTATCGCGATTGTTACAATCATGCGTCATTAAGCTCCTACATGGCGTTGCACGGCGCAGCATAGCGCGACTAGTGAGAATTTCGGACGATCGACGGAAATTCGCACTAACGAATTAAACGAGCGACGCGAACGGGCGAATCTCTCGCATTCTCTCCGCATTCCACTGATATCGCTCTCTAAGAGAAAGAGAGAGAGAGAGAGAGAGAGAGATAGCTTATCTTATGTCGTCTGTTAACGTGCGGTCCTTTCCGGAGCGAAGCCGGAGGAGCGCAAATCTGATGTTTGTTACACAATCTCGAAGCAAGGAGGAATTCGATGGGTTTGCCCAAATTCCTCGCGTAAGCGAGAGAAGCCGATTTTTCTCAGGCTCGTCGCAAATTCCGCAAAATACGAAGAGAAAGAGAGAGAACTTCGCTTTTTCGCGCTTAATCGCCACGTGTTGATCCAACGCGCTGATCGACCCTTGACCTGCGTTGACCGCAGAAGTGTCCCAGTGATCATTACACGAAATGGTCCATGTGGTCGCCGTGCAGCTCCAGCTGCGGACCCGGCGTCAAGTTGAGGTCCAGGTTGTTGAATAAAAACTGGAACACCATGGGAAAGGACGACGACGACAGCCACGAGGAATGCAAAGTGCAGCAGGCGTCGTGCACGGCCGAAATACCGAGCTGTGACTTCACGAAGGACGAAGCGGAAAGTAAGTGAAAATGTCGATCCCGGGCGAGAGACTCGTCGAAAGAAAGACTCGTGTGCGTGCGGGTGAATTTAAATATTTCAGGAAAATTTTCGCGTGGTACATTTTCAGATAAAATCTCCGACATTAAAATAGCTGACCGAGCCGCAAGATTTCTTCCCTCGAGTCGGTACATGCGCTTGTTGGCGAATTAATTAAATTGTAACGTAAAAATGTGAGAAAGATATTTATTTCATCCGTTGTCCGATGAAAGGATTATTTCCTGTTCCTTTTAATTTCTCGCGCACAATCAGTGGCCATTCCGCTGATCCGCCCAGGATAGCTCGCGGCTGGGTTTCTCCGTCGGCGAGAATTCCAACGAAATTTCGCGTCGTGCTCCGGCCGCCCGCTACCGCTCGCTATCGCATTATCTTTCTTGCTGCACAGCGGTTTCGCATTGATTATAGAGATCTGCAGTGAGCCTATGGAGAAGGGCCGTTGCACCTCCAACATATTGCGAGCCTATTTCGACAAACAAGCCGGCCGCTGCCGTTTATTCAGCTACACCGGGTGCGACGGCAATCGGAATAATTTCCCGACCGAGCAGGATTGCAACAATGTTTGCGGTAACTTTCAAAGTAAGTCGATATTATTCAGCGCCGAGTGCGTTATATTCACTTTACAACAACACCGCAACGTATACCGCACAATTAATATTATTAATTACGGAGCCCATGCGAATATGAAGCACAGAACTTTCCTCGGCTCGCCTTGTCTGCATCTTTCTCTCCCTCTCTCTCTTTTTCTCTTTACCTTTATTTACCTATCTACCTTCTCATCGTAAAAATTACAACTTACAATTACAGCTATCGAAAGATTTATCGCATGCAACTGCACGTCTCAGGCCGAATCTCATTATCGATTGCGTGTTCTATAAATTTCTTCGAGTGACGAAATATTCGCATAACTGGATCAAGGGAAATATCCTACTTGAAGAACATTATTAAATAATCAAAAAAGAAAAGATTTTGGAAACTGGTGAAGTCTGAAAAATAAACGTAGATGTAATCATAAATTCGTATCTTCATTGCACAGACCAAGTTTTCGCGATTCTCGATCGAGCTCGATCGGAACAATTGGTATCCTGTTGCGTTCACATTGTTCTCTTAACCTCCTCTCCTCTTCAGCTTACCCCCCTCGCACCCCTGTCACCCCGAACGCTTGTTTCGCCGACGATTTCGCATTGTTAACGGCTTTCGCATCGCGAGCAAGGTGTTCCCCTCTCACTAAATAATCACTCATTATTGTGTTACTTTGCACACGCTTGCTAACCGATTCAGGAGAATTGCGGGCGAACCTGTCTGCGATCATGAAAAACTTTAAGGTGTCCCTTAGCAGCGTCCTCAGCTACCACATCCCCGTGAAGGAGCAGCGCCGCACGAAGGCGAAGAGAGCGCAATACGGTGATGAATCTGCTTTACGCGAAAGTTATTGCCGGATTATGTGCCATTTCACGACGGCTTCGCGAAAACGGTTTACGCGAGCTTAAAGACCGTTAGCGACGAAGCGCGGCGTATAGGCGTGCGCTAATACACGCGGGCGATTTCGCCCCGCTGGAATAATTAAGTCGCGTCTCTTTACAGAGAAGGCAGACTTCAGAAATATCCAAGCGAGCAGCCTGGTAATGGAATCGAGCGAGGACAGTAAAGTGGACTGTCAGATTACTGGTTGGAGCAAATGGACGAGCTGTAACGGCTGCTACGGGTACAAAACTAGTACCAGGGAGATCATGGTAGACCGCATTATAAGTTCCTTCATCTGTCCTTCTTTCTCTCTCTTTCTCTTTCACACATATATTTTCACACTTTCACACACACACATGTACACAAAGCGCGAATTGAATGTAACAATAACGAAGTTGTTGCGTTGAATGACGAGCGATGACATCTCCGCTGCAACTCGCCGCTCGATCGATGAAATTCAATACGCGTTATGTCGAATCGATCACACAATTGATTGATTGATTGGTTGATTGCAAAACGGGGAAATGTGAATGTAAAAATCTCATGAGCAGGTCCCGGCCAAAGATGGAGGTAAGAGCTGTCCGAAGAGAACCGTCCGAAGGAAAAAGTGCAGCAAGGTTCCACCGTGCTGTGAGTATAAATAATGTAACACTTTGTCGTAAAATGGTTCGCCGCTGAGATTACGATAGTAAAGAAATACGATTACGATAATAAAGAGATAAGAAAGAAACTGGACTTGTAATTAAACGAGCGACAATCGAATCTTCGAATTTCGTCAATAAGAGAGCGTCTATCTAATTCTAACGAATATTAAAAAATTTGGCAGCTGAACAAGGCGACGGGAAAAGTCGACGATCCTCACGGGACCAAAATTCGGAATACGAAGTCGAATACGGAACCAAACACGACGCCATACTCAATAAATACAGTAAGCTTCCAAATAATGCCGATTGCGAGTGGACTTAAGATCGACTCGCACGATCGCTCGATCGACAGGCGTTAGTCTGCCGCGAACTCGCGCGAGGAAAATGAACGAGCAAACGGGAATAATCAGACTAAGACAGGAATGATGAAAATAAAATTAATCTGTCGATCTTCATTTTTTGTATTTAAAGTTATTTTACATAAAAATCATTTCACGTAATTAAAATCAAATTATAAAGTCGTTTTATATAATTAAAGTCATCGTGCGCGAACATTAGATTGCTTCGATCGATTGCGAGATTCTGCGCGTCGATGGATTTTTTCACGTTCTCCAAATACGTTTCTCTCTCTCTCTCTTTCTCTCTGCATTTACATGTTCACCGCTCTTTCGTACGAAGTTTCAGTAAACTGCAAAGTGACACACTGGTCGACGTGGTCAGGGTGCAGTGCGACCTGCGGCGACGCGATGCGGCATCGTGTTCGCAGTGTGAAGGTGAAACCACGAGGACTCCGGGCCCGACTTTGTCCACCTCTGGTGGAATTCAAGAAGTGTCCCGTGGCGGAATGTCCGAAGTAACAAAGTGCTCGATGACTTCGTTACCGCCACGACGTTTCGCCGTCGTCCGCTCTCGCCATCATCGGCGAGAAGAAAGTCGGGCAGAAATTTACATGCCGCAATCTATCAATCCTCACGGATCCTATCCCGAACGGGCGCAGCGCGTCCGTTCGGATACTCGAATTTATACGACGACTCTCGCTAGACCTATTATAGATTAGCGACCCTCTCCTTATCCTCTCTCTTTCTCTTTTTCGAACGTGAGGCCATCATGAAGCAGAGATAATACTGGACAATGATCTGATAAAATCTAAGCCGATACTTAACGCTTTAGTACTTAAGATCGCACGTAGGATTCGATAGAATTTTTCTAAGAGTCTGTTATTGTCCTTCTTCGCATGTCTGGAAGGCATTTTCATTGACTTATCTAATTCTCATATTCGCCCGCGATTGAGCAACAATTTTATAGAAATATATTCGCAGAACGTAATATTATTATCGACGCGTGCACCATTTGAAAAAAAAATGCCGGGTTTCTTTTTCACAGATCTCCGCATAAAATCTCGTATTTTACACAATGAGGACTTTCGATACTCCATTTCCGTATCTGAATTATCACACGGCGTGATTTAGTCACGTGTCATGATAAGAACACACGCAATGAAATTTTGGCCAAAGATTGACGATAACAGATCAGTCCAGTGTTGGCTCTGATGCAACATTCTATAATTAGTTTGAGCATGTCAAAGTAGAATTTATTATCGTCGTATGATTTGTTCTTTCTCAAGAGGCTACAGCGGGGAGATAGCGAGGATATATCGGGGAGTTAGTTCTATCTATCGCGTAATATTATTATATACTCACCTTATGTCCTCCAGTGTGACTTATTACGCACAGGAAAGTCGTGCCATTAATAATAACGCTGTCGCATTATTTAGCGATTCGTTGTGTCAATATCGGAGTATTCAATGATAGATTTAACGCGATGACGTATATAATACAATATGCATTCGCTTCATTCGACTCACAATTGTTAAAAAAGAACACACAACGTTACTCGCGCGACGTGGTTAAGTTAAGATGAAATCAATTTGCATTCCAACGCGCGTCGTGCTTAGAAAAAAGAAAAAACGAGAAGATGATTCGTGCGATTAATATTACTCGCAACAACTTGATATTGTGTTTCCGACGTCGATTCTGACCGTTAAGAGAGGAATGAAAAAGATAAAAAGTCAAATAACTTGTGACAAGGTAACGTTACGTTAGATAAGAGATGAAACCGGTCCTTTTTATCGCGGGAATGAGAAGCGCGCGAACATTAAAAGGACCACTCGTTTAAAGATAACGTTTGTTCACAATATGCGCGTATTATATTCGTAGCATTTATCATGCATTACAGATCTCAAAGTAAGACCAAAAGAGCTCGTAATAGCTTCAGTTTGGAAACTGAGAACCACACACGGTATTTTGAAAACTATGACTGTAAAATATGACGTAGACATATCAATAGGTAGTAAAAAAGCCGTTTGTTTAGCGCATGAGGAGTTTCCTTAATCCGCAATTTTCTTCACCCTTCATTGACAATAAATGAAATCATATAGGTGTATGGTACAAAGAAGGAAACAAACGTCATTTTTTGTAAAGGCATTATAATATTCATAATAAAGATGATCGCTATAATTAAGTACACAGTACTTTTTTATTTGCTCTGACTGTTCATACAATATATTCTTTTTCCCATACATACTCGTGTAAGGTATTGGAGAAAAATATATTTTATCATTATTATATGTATAATATATATTTATATCATTAAGATTGACAATAAATCTCATGTAATCTATTGCTTTAGCTAATTAGATACAGTAGTTGCTTATATGTTATTTACAGAGTTGTTTGCATCCTTTCTATTTAAGGGAGTTATTATAAGTAAAATTATGTTCTTCTTGGAAGGTTGCTTTAGAATACTTCCAATATCTTTCACCATATCCGTTATAGTGGGCAATATATTATTCTACATATTAAAAGAAAACATATATGTAATTTTTTAGAAATATATCCTTAATCTCTTAACAATTTCTTTCAACTTGACAATTAATTTCATAATTCCATTCCATTTCTGTATCACATAAAAACTGAAAGAAAATAAAGAAACTCACATCTTTGGCATCCTCCACACTGATACAAATCTTAACCTTATTGCCCTTGTTTAACATTTTCGTCACATTCTTTATCTTTGTTAACAAATCGTGCTTAGTAATATTTGCAGATATGTAGAGAAGTTTAGGACTCTCTGATTTACATTGGATATTGCTGCCATCGATCTGAACGAATTCTGTTTCTTCCAACAAGTTGTTTGTGAGTTTGTAAGTAGCTCGAGACGATTTGCTATCAAGATCATTGACCTGTTTTTGTCCCAAAAAAGCCATTGGATCGAGTGTTTTTTTTATTACTTGAACAGATCCTAATAGTATAAATGTCTCTATTTTTATCTCATTAAATAAAGATTAAACATTTTGCAAAAACATGTGACATTACGTGGAATATTCGTAGAATATATCATGTTATTTATAGATCAAATGTTCATGTTGAAAGATCAACTTCTGAGGTCTACAACTAACCTTAATGAGGTTGAGTTTTCGGCGTTTCGCTATACGCTGGGCGTTCTCCAAATTGGTCACTATCATTGAATCATCTGATAGTAACAACGTGATTTTCGGCACCGGTACCGTCTTCGGTCTCTCTTTTGGTTTGGTCGGAACATTTTCGTTATCCAAAGTGATCGTATTGTGATCACTGAATTTTCGAAATTGGTACACGCCAAGCTTATGTGCCACGTGACGTTGATTGAAATCTTGAGTGAAGTACGTGGCTCTTCGTAAAATTGTCATTAATCTAAGAGTAGCCATATAGTGACAGCTGTTTTCTATTCGTTAACTGAAATATAACCTATAAATTGCGAATATAACCTACAACACCGACGAAATACTAATAAAAGGCCTGTTCGTTTTGTCTGCACTGCTGAACTGGTGCGTTAAGTTACAGTGAGACAAATGTAGTTTTTCTCACTTCAACTTGTTGCACCAGTTCAGCAGTGCAGACAAAACGAACAGGCTTAAAGATAGTGTTAGGGTGCGGTCCATCAATCGCTACAAATGCTTCGAAGCGTTTTTACTTCTCTCTCTTCCTTCGTTTGCATCCGAGAAATAGAACGAGAAAGAGAAACGCTTCAAAGTATTTGTAGCGGTTCCCGGACCGCACTCCATGACTTACGGGATTTTGAACGCTAACGCCCTCTTAGAAATAACGTAGTTGGAATACAAAGTTGTAGCTCGAAATTAACATAAACATAAATAGTAACAGATATAGGGTAATAACACCGATGAAGTAATGCTAAAGACTGTCAGTCCCGGCCTGATCAAAATTATGAGTTAATAAATAATAGATTGTAAATAAGATTACGAGCAACATGTCTACTAAAGACAAACACGCCTTGAAAGAAGTAATCAAAACACCAGAAAAGCAGAATGATACAGTGACCTGGAATCTGGACAGTGTGCTGTTGCGAACATTTTTACTAGTCACTTGCATCAAGATGCTCTTGATTCCTACTTAGTGAGTGATTTTGTGAGGTTTCTTTGGCAGCAAATCCATGTCGAGATTCATCATTATATAAATTATCATTGTAAATTTAATCCACAGTCATTCCACTGATTTTGAAGTACACCGTAATTGGCTTGCGATCACATATAATTTACCTCTTAAAGAATGGTATTTAAATGCACAATCTATGTGGACTCTGGACTACCCTCCTCTGTTTGCATGGTTTGAGTACTGCCTCAGTCAGGTAGCAGTGTTCTTCGATCCTGAAATGGTCAAAGTGGAGAATTTAAATTACTTATCATCAAATACTGTATACTTTCAAAGAGGTAGTGTTATACTAGCTGATTTGATGTTTGCATATGGAGTAAGAAAGTACGTATGTTTATGGTTGAATTGTACTTTCAGAATAAGATAAATATTTCTAAATATTCTTTGGACATATACAGCTTCTTCATAGGATTTGAGAAAAAACTAAAGAATCCACAAACTAAAACAAAAATATTTGCTATTGATAAAATTCATTAATATAAGAAATATAGCTTAGCAGATATATGGAAAGATCAATAAAGATAAATTCTTAATTTTTGCATAATCTTGTAATCTCTAACATATTTTCTTTCCAGAACAGGTAGAATATTTTTTAAATCCACAAACAGTAATGTAGTCTTTATGCTTTTATCCCTATGCAACATAGGACTATTGATAGTGGATCATATACATTTCCAGTACAATGGCTTCCTACTTGGTATCCTGTTAGTGTCAATGGCAAATGTGTCAATGATCAGTGAGCAGGTAAATTCTGCAATACATTCTTGGGATTTGCTCACAGATGTAAAAAGTAATTTATGTTTTAGATGTCTATATTGCAAGGTGCTGCATGGTTCGCTGTTTTACTCAACCTAAAACACTTGTATGTTTATGTAGCACCAGCATACATTGTCTGGCTACTAAGGTCATATTGCTTGAACAGTGGGAAATTCTTCAAACGTATATTCATGCTCAGTCTTATCGTTCTGACTATCTTAGCAGTTTCATTTGGTCCTTTTGCAACTCAATTACCACAGGTACTGAATATTCCTTTAACAACTAAACTTTTTTTTTTAATTTTTCTGTTTCATAACTTGAAGTTTCTCTTCAGGTGATTTCCCGTTTGTTTCCGTTTAAAAGAGGTCTGGTACATTCATATTGGGCTGCAAATGGTTGGGCTCTGTATATTGGTGTGGAAAAAGTGCTATCTGTGATATGGAGACATTTAGGATGGTTAAAAGATGTTAAATCAGCAGTGATGACTGGTGGTTTAGTGCAGGAACAGGTCTTTCTTATATTGCCCACTCCAACCCCTCTCGTTACATTCCTCTTGACTTTTTTGGCAATACTTGTGAGTTCATTACGATTATTTAGATCTGGGAAATATAAATGATATAATGTAGTGTAATATATAACTCTTGTTTTTCCATTACAGATATTTTATATTTATCAATATATTTTATATAATTATACATCTCTTTATATAAATTATATTAAATAATTATAATTATATTGCAGCCTGTGCTATGGTGCCTATACTGTAAAAAGCAGTACATGAACTCGAAATATTTTGTTAGATGTATTGTTCTATGTGCTTTAGGATCGTTTATGTTTAGCTGGCATGTACATGAGAAAGCCATACTGACCGCGATCATTCCTTTGTGGTGAGTATCGAATCCTCAGTATCGAACGTCATATTTTATCAAAAGTTCACGATTACGTAATTTAAAATATATGTTTACTGAGTTCCAATCTCATGAAAACTAAATCGATTATAAAATTTTTACACATTAATTTTCACTATCATCGGACCATTTCAATAAAGCAATAATTGTTGATATATCGATAGAACAGTAGTATTATATATGTGATTAAAACCAATCATAATGACTTTCCAGCGTTCTCGCGGCGATAGACGAGGAAGATGCGAGGACTTTTATAATCCTAAGTAGTGCCGGACACACCGCTATCCTGCCATTATTATACCCCGATAATCTGTCCCTATTAAAGATAATATTGTCGCTGACATATATGTTCGCATCGATTACAGTTCTAATGAATCACCATGGCAGGCCTTTGTTGCGATTGCACGAGTGGTTGTATGTAATTCCTCTGCCGTTAGTCACGATCTACGAAACGGTACTGCACAAGTTGCTGTTCGCTGACAGATTGCCATTCTTACCATTAGCATTTACTTCCATATACTGCGCGATCGGTATTACTTACTGTTGGATATTATATTACTGTATGTATCTGCGAGTTAATGTCCACACCGATGAAAAAACGACAGTTAGCAAATTGAGACGTCAAAGAATGAAGGATAAACGATCTTAAAAACAATCGCGAGAGGTCTATATGTATTCTCGAAATAAAGTTTATACATTCTATACGAGAGGTGCGTTGTTCTTTTCGTAAAAAAAAGTACTCTTAGATCCACTATTGAAAGCATTGAAAAGCTTTATTGAAAAGAACAAACATATGTATATCAAGCATTCATGTTACCTGCGTCGTGGCAGCGGATGAAACTGGAAATTGACGATGAAAACAATTCACTTTGATCAGGTATACTGCTCTTACTCACGTCACAGCCATGAAATGCCACTATCACAAGTCAGAGTAGGAAAGTGTTGACCAAGGCAAATTATTTCTCATCAATTTCTGATTACATTCCGCGGACGAAATGCTCGATCAATGTTTTGTTTGCGTAATTCTTATAAGGTCTCTGTAAAATTCCTGTAAAATATCTCCTCATATCTAGTTTTGGATAGATGCAGCTTGAAATACATGAGTGATAAAAGTTTTAAGAAAATTAGCGTTACACGCATTATATCACGCATTTATACCACTTTTGATCGGTGCTTTAATCATCGAGATTCATTTTTGTTGGTTGATAACGAATCGCCTTGTGCTTCTTCATTTCGAACTCATCGTGATTATCTTCGAAGCATACAGGACAGTATAGATCGCCGGTGCAACCCATGCAATGCACAAGATCTGCTGTCTGTTCACACATCACACATGTAGGTTTCTCATCTTCATCTTCGCCCTCATGCGGAACCTACGTAATTATTCACATTGAATTTAGAACGACGATATACATTCATTCATCTACCTATATATTTACCTCAGAGTCCATTGCCTCTACATCTTCCAATTCTTCCTTCTCATATTTAGCTTCTAACATTGCTTCAGATAAAGCTTTGTTAATTAACTTCTTTGTCACTGCCTCTTCATCATCGTCAATTTCTTCCCTCTTACTTTCATTAACATCCTGTAAAATGTACAATCGATGGTCATAACTTTATATTTTAAGTCTGTGCTTTCATCTACTTACTGTCTTATCACCATTGTCCCGCAAGGAATTCAGTTTTTCTTGGATCTCCTTGCAGGGGTCATCAGTTGAGGATATCTCCAGTTGATCCAAATACTCCTGGATCAAATCATCTGTTTTCTCTTGGTCAGTTCTTGTATCTACCTGATGTATCTAAAATTAGAAATCAATAAATATCTGTTGGTGAATATATAATATATAATTTACATACATTTGTGACATTACTATTCCCATTAGCTTCTGGATCTTGATCTTTTAACAATGCCAATCGTCTTCTTATTTCATCAACACTAGGCAATGGAAGGTTTTGTTCTTTATTTTTCAGTTTTTGTAATCGATCAACAATTTCTTGATCAGCTGGTTCTAGTCCTTTCTTAAACTGATCCCAGCGATTTGTGTGCTTATATATCACTACTGGAGGCCTAGTTGGGTTCTCTAACGAATCCAACCTGATAAAAAAAGAAATATTACGATGTATTGAATTTTTTAAGTTATTTTATATGTAATAAGAATTCATTTTCTTACTTCCTAGTGATATCAATCGGTGCAAGTGGCTCTTCACTTGCTTCAGGTGGTGATGTGTCACTCATGGAAGTTTCAGGACTTGATTTTTTCATATTGTTTAATTTACTGTAACAACATCCACAGATCTTTTTTGTTCCTAAATTAGGAACATTACACTTATATTTGAGGCACTTGTTGCAGTAAGAAAAGCCACAGCTTGGACAACCAATCTATGCAACAGGAAAAAAATAAATAATTGATGATAAAATATATATAACAAATGGTAAAAGGACGATTTCTTTTTTTTAACAAAATTAATTCGATGAGTTAGTAGTTATTAGACTGAACATACTGATACTTACGTTTTTTGTGAAGAATGAAAATTTTGCTTGGCAAGTATTGCAAGACATTCCCTTGACTCTTTATCGATATATTTTTAGCATGACAAAGAAGTATCATATAAAACAAGAGTACACCTTAAGGGTCTACAGGAGCCAGAGACAAATCCAGCGTTGACTTTGGAGGCTTCGTGCGGCGAGATCGCGAACCAACACCGTGCGCGCGAGCGCAAGAGCAGTAAGGTTGGGTCAAGTCAGTTTGACAAGGACGAACAATCGATCACACTGTCCTTGTCTTACTCACTCGGGCATTTCGCTGGCCGATACACAGCGAGAAAACGCTTTTCAGGCTTTTGGGTGAGTGAGCCAAGCGTCGCAGCGACTCACGTGCAATACCATTTTACAAATTGACGTATTTTGTCTAGCTGACGTTATATATCACCGCCAAATTGTTATAGCATGTTCCTTATATTATTCCCGAGATCCTCACAAAGCCAGATTTTGCAATCCGACCGTCCAAAATTTATGAAAAATAAATGAAGCGTCCGCCGTACGAAGCATCGCAGCGAATCACTCCAAAAATTATCTTACAAGATGCAAAATTTCGCCTCGTTGACGATACGTATAACTGCTAAACTGTTACAGCATCTTCCTTGAACTATCCCCGAGGACCTTACACAGCCAGATTTTACAATCCGGCCGACCAAAATTTATAATATATATAAATAAAGCATCAGCCGTACCAGGAGTTGCAGCGAGTCAGGTGGAATACCATTTTACAAGAAGCAATATTTTGCCTTATTGACGTAATATATGACCATGAACTTGTTATGGTATCTTCCTACAACTATTTCCGAGATCTCTACAGAGATAGATTCTACAAATAGGCTATCAACAATTTATTATACATAAATAAAGCGTCAGCTGTACCAAATCGCAGCGAGTCAGGCGGAATACAATTTAAATACAAGAACAGATATATTGCCTCGTTGACTATATATACAACCGCCAAATTATTATGGTGTCTTCATTGAACTATCCCCAAGAACCCTACAGAGATTTTACAATCCGGCCGTCAAAAATTTATCATACATTAATAAAGCGTTCGCTGTACCAAGCGTCGCTGCGAGTCACTCGAAATATCATTTCACGACATGCAATATTTCGTCTCTTTGACGATACGTATTATTACCAAATTGTTGCAGCATCTTCTTCATACTATTCCCGAGATCGGTACAAAGCCAGATTTCGCAATCAGGCCGCCTAACATTTATCGTATATAAAAGACTGTACCGAGCATTGCAGCATGTCACGTACAATTTTGGAACATGAGAAATATTGCCTCGTTAACAAGTGCGCCGACTTGGGAAAAATATTGGGGGGGCAAGAGGTCCTTTTTTTTAGTAATCCTTACATTACCAGGGGGAGGGGTGAAAGTATTTAGAAGTATAGAAGTAGGTTATATAAGATGTTAAAAGTTAACTTATAAAGTAGGATATTTTGGATTAAAAAAAAATTATCATCTTACAATTTTGCGTTGTTGTTTACAAAATGATAAAGGTCTTTTGATACAAAATGACTTAATTTATAAGTATGCGAGAGCGTTGAACTTAAGTTTTAACCTTACATATTTGCATATGTTACGTCCTAGAAGAGGAGCGCAACTTTCCGTTCGCGAGTAAGGCGAACCTCGTTCGTAACCGCATGCCATCGAACGGGTCAGAGACCCGACGAGTCCCTTTACTCAGACACCGACGTACGACGAGCGGTCCGTTTTTCGGTCAAGGACGCGAGTCCCTTTACCGAGGATAAGACCATGAGTTGACTGTTGGAAGGTAGGGTGATTTTGAAATTAATTTGTGATAATAACTATTAACAGATTTATTAAAATAAAGATGACAAAATTATATAACGGCACGGTTTGAATTAACAAATTTATGAATAATAGGATATAACGATGCGGATTGAATTTTTACAGGTTTATTAAGATGAATAGCGACCCAAAATGATGTAATTGAATGGTTTGAACATGACAATTATACTTAGATGAATGAGTGTATGTGTGTGTATAAGTATATGAAATGGAAAAAGAAAGGGATGGGAAAGGGAACGAATATGAATAGGAAGTTCAAGGGTGGAATAAATAAAATAGAAGTAGGAAGATAAAGTAAAGAAAATAAAACTTACTACTGATTCAGGATGAGTTTACACAAGCAGAAGTGAAAATGGCGCAGATCTGCGTAGGTGTTCTCGTTTCCAATATTCGTATTCCGATTGAGGCACCAAATAGTCGTTCACTTATATAAAGAGGAAGCCCGCACTTTTTCCAAAATCCGAATGTTTGAATATTTGAATACTAAATATTTGAATGAACTGGAATTATGAAGATTTGAATCTGAGTCCTAATGCTCAAGATTTGAATATCCGAGTTCTGAATATCTGAGTTTTGAATATCTGCGTGAGAGTGCGAGTCTGAGCTTTTTCGTTTCCGTGTCCTTCTGTCTCTCAGAGTAGTGTCGCGGAGGCGGATTACCGCGGTTTTTATACTGATAATCGGAGGCAGAAGCTATCATGGTGGGTAGAGAGATAGCCCTTTTAGGGAGGGGTGAAACCCTAAGGAGAATCCAATGAAGTTAAAGATTTTGTTACTAATTTTTATTATTGGTCCTGGTTGACAGTAGTGGGAAAAAGTCTTAGCCATTAGCGAAGTTAAAAGACATTGTGGAGACAGTTAGTTTTTGGAGATATGAATATGGAAGGGCTAAAGGGTGGAGCGTTGGTGTCTCATAATTTTAAGTGGATATGATATGATTGGCTGAATGAATTAGGCGCGACAAGCGTGGAGGTGGTGGATTCTTGAGATAGAGAAATGTATACAAGCGGCCGGCTGGAAAAATTAAAATGCCGTAAATCAAAGGCTGAGATCAGATTTTACGACTATCAGTGAAGTAAACTTTGTTGGTTAACTGATAGGGCACATATGGTTTTGGATTGGGAAGATATAAGTTTCAAGTTTTAGAGCAGGAATGCTCTGAGTTGCTTTGTTTTACTGAAGGTTTGTTAGCGCGGAGTTTCAAATTTTTATAGCTAGGACGACGGACACACTTGGCGAACACTACCTAGATATAAACTTTAAACGAAGACGTAGATTTTTACAACAGGACACTGTTTCCTGTTATGGAATTTTCCCGAATCGCCTTTCATTTGGCGCGACGGCTGTTCGCCAGATGGGTCTGTTTCCTAATTTATATTTATATATGTATATATTCCTATTATAGTTATATTAGGAGAATATAAATCCGCGAGAAGAAAGAATTTTTGCTAATTAAATCTACAGGACGTAACACATCATTGATATATTTGTCTTGTGGACGTTGAAGATGTTACCACGTTGAGGTTAAAATGACGATTGTGCATCTCACAGCATAGCAAAGTCGTTAAATCCTTTTCTGTATCGTCCGTCGGTCATTGAGCTATCCTTATCAATCACTGTGAAACCATATTTATCCTCCCAACATTTGCAACACAATGTACTGAAATCCTCATATGACATGTCAGTGTTCACATGATCGTTGTACACATGTTTCAAGTTGGTACCATCCTGTTTAAGGAGAATCAGAAGATTTGCATTGTCCCGTATAAGATGCTTGGGTATTTTTGCGTACGTCTGACAGAGATAGAAACAGTCAACGCTCGAATGACGACCCATTGCAAAGTATTCTCTTATCGTATCTTGTTTGTCACATGCAACGTCATCAAAGATAAAAATAGAATTTTTGGGCGCTTCGGTCGTTGGAATCACATCGCTGTTATTGGAGAATGTAAAGTATCCAATTTCATCTATTGATTTCAGCAGATTTTCCAAGTAGCGATATTTAGGTTGTTGCAACGATTTCGAGTACACGTACAAGTTCTCGAAACGTAGACCGTGCAGACTTTCCAACAAGCTGATGAGAATGTTTGTCTTGCCGCAATTCGAGGGACCGCATATGATGCCGCGTATGGTGTTCGGAAGCATGTTTCCATGCCTGCGCGCCTCTTGCTCAAGCATTGATTCCGTTCTATTGTCGAAATTTGTCACGTATATCGACGTTGGTTGCTTCACGAACCGCATGTTTCCCCCGTGAGTCGCAAAATAATTTAAATGTGACGCTGATTTAACTATATATATATAAGCGCATCAATCTTGGAAACACTCAGTTTAGAAAATGTTCCTCCTGTTAACAGATACCCATGATATTCGAGAGCTAACCTCCGAACAACTGAAATATATACCGAAGATTGTTCTGTTACGCGAATTTGCAAAGTATATTGACGATTTGCAGGATAGACTCCCGGAACATTTAAGAGTCGATCCAGAGGTTCAGCAGTATCGTCGGTGTTTGGAACATTACAATCGTCCGTAGCAGCAAACACATATCGACGGTCCAGCACCGCTGATCAGGGACTGTAGTGAATGTCGTCGACAAAAGTCAAAGTCGGCAGTGGTCTATTGAATCGCGCGATAAATGCGCTTCCTATCGAACTACACATTCCCGGATATCAATTTTATGGTCCTGGAACTCGCTTGGTAAAACGATTGGTCAGAGGTGACCAAGGCATTAATTCATTGGACGCGGCGTGTCGTGAGCACGATATAGCCTATTCGCGTAGCAACAATCTCACCGATCGGCACGCGGCGGATGAGATTCTCGCTGTGAAAGCGCGGAAACGCATAACTTCGAAAGAATCAACTCTAGGCGAGAAAGCTGCTGCTGCAGTCATTTGGGTTGCTATGAAAGCCAAAATGAAAATCGGCATGGGCATGGGCACGAAGAAAAAGAAGTCGTCCAAGAAAGAAATCCGAAAACGAGCACTTCCAGTAACAAAACGGGGTGGTATTTTACCAGTTCTAGCATTACTGGGAGTTCTCGGTTCACTAGTCGGTGGAGCGGCGGGTGTCGCAAAAGCGGTGAATGATGGCAAAGCCGCGCAACGCCAGCTGGAAGAATTAAAACGTCATCATCGCGCAATGGAAGGTCGCGCTACGAAAGGTCGCAGAATCTATCTTGCTCCATACAAGCGCGGGAAAGGCGCTGCAGAAAAAAAAAAAACGTCAAAGAAACGCTAAAATTATCCACGGGTGCAATGACTAATGTACAGTTGGAAAGACTAGCGAGGCGTATGCGTATATCTTTTTTTCGAGGTGTTTTCATGCGTGACGCCTTACCCATGGATGGAGTACGTCAAAACGAGAGCGGTATTGTAAATTTAGACAACACAGAGGGACCAGGTACTCACTGGGTGGCGTATGCGAAAAGAGGAAATCGCGCAGTATATTTTGACAGTTTTGGTAATCTTCGACCACCCAAGGAATTGATTCGATACCTTGAGAAAGATGTAGTGAAAATTTTGTACAATCGCACATCATATCAACATTACAACCAGAGCATTTGCGGACAATTGTGCTTGTAGTTTCTTCAAACG